TCCGTTTTTAAATTTTTTACTATTTTTTTCGTTTTTAATGATATTATTTTAATATTTATTTTGTTTCAAAAAGTTACAGATATCTAATTTTAAAATTAAATCAAAATAAATAACAAATCAAATCAAATTTAATAGATAAAATTTTCAATACTAGTTGTTACATATTTAATAAGTTTATAAAAGTGACTTTAGAACGAAAAATAATGAGGAATAAGGTCCTTACAAATATTGATTGGTTGTTTTAAAAACTTGAAATGGCTGAATAGAGTATATCGTACTCTGCGGTCAGTGCCACGATTGTTGTTTGTTTTTTAGTGGACCTGAAATGGTTGTTTAAAAATATTTTTTTATTAAGTTTTTGTTGTGATAAAGTGCTGATTGTTTTACATGAATTTCTTGACAAGAAATTCAAACAGATTAATGTATTTCAAATGTAACGCCATATTAACTGCAAGTTATATTTTGGTATAATTTAGTACATAATTGATTGACAAATGTATACAGTGAAACTTTTATAAATTACTAATGTTGCGGTTACACTAAAACTATCACTTTTTTCTTAATTTATAGAAATTATTAATTTATCGATATATTAATTGAACCAAAAATTTAATTTAATGATATTATTTTAATTTTATAGAGATTTTTATTGTATATTAATTTATAAAATATTAGTTTAAAGAGAATATACTATAGTTGGAGTTCTTTTTTAATAAAATGTTATTACCAAATTTTGACTTTTTTAAGCAACTGAATTAATTACGTAGAAAAAAATTTATTGAAAGCAAGTCCAACACTGATAGATTTGTTACAAAAAGAAACTTTGGTCCAAGAGTTGAGAGGTTCATTAAAGTTTATAGAAACAAAAGATACATGGAAAGAGAAAAAAAAAAGAGACGATAGATGACTCAATGTCTGATAGTACTCCGAAGAGTTCTACAAATCGTTGGTTTGTGTTAATGGCTTATATAAGACCCTTGCAATTTGCTTGAAGCCAGATGGTGTTGAAATTGAGTGAGACATCATGATTTAAAGCGGCCCGAATCGCCAGAACTTCCACCTTGAGCAGGGAGGAGACATTATTCTGGTGGAGACATCCTCGGCTTACTTCCATACCCTCACGGTTAGTGAAGATCCAAGTTCGTCATGTTTCTTTTGTGTCTTTGTTCCACGCCGTATCAGAGTTTCATGTAATGGCAGATGTTGAGATTTGGAACGGTAGTTGAGGAGGGGAGAAGATTGCTTGATCTTTGTCGATGCTTTGTGCTTGTTTCCATTTCTTTAAGAGAGCAATGATTTAGAGATGATCTCCTCTGGCGGCGACTGTTTGTTCTCAAAAGTTTGATGATTTTGGTTGATCCATAGTCCCCAACCAATTTTTGATTTTTAACAGACGTTACAAAGATAACACGTAATAGAAACAACAAAATATCGTAACAACTAAGCAAGAACAAAAGAAAAAGACCAAAATAATAAAAACTTAAACAATAAAGAGTTATAACAACGAGGCAGACTCGAACCTACCAACTACAAGCATTTTAGATGAGAAAATAAAACCTGATGATTGCTGCATTAAATGAATTATAATCACCACTGAATGAAAGTGAAGTGTTAAGATGAACGATAACTCAGTGTTAATATCTAAAGTTAGGTTTGGGTATTTGGAATCTCAATCAGTTTTTGATTATGTCCAATCGGATTTTGGGTTTTTGAATTTATCAAAATCAACTTCATTCGGGTTATATGAAAATTCAGTTTGAAACCGGTTCAGATTCTATCGGGTTGGGATCGGAATTAGTAAATCTTCAAAGAACTGGTATAATTCGACGTACTTTTAGGTTTGGATCCTAATCAATTTTTTTCTGTTTTTTATTTGAGTTTATGAAAATCAACTTCATTCGGGTTATATGAAAATTCAGTTTGGAACCGGTTCAGATTCTATCGGGTTCGGGTCGGAATTAGTAAATATTCAAAGAACTGGTATAATCCGATGTACTTTTAGGTTTGGATCCTAATCAGTTTTTTTTTCTTCTGTTTTTGTAACCAAAACATAAGTAAATTGGTATTCAATTTAAAAATACATGATTTACATTTATTTTGTAACCAAAACATAAGTAAAATCGATTCAAAACTAAAAAGAAATATCAAACGTGATAATTCAAAATCAAACGAAAAGTAAACATAGATATTGATTGAAAGAAAGCCAAATAAATGAAGACATAAAACGAAAAGCAAATTCTCATGAAAGAAAAAAATTATTCAATGAAAACAAAATCAAAATCTAAAAACTTCAAGTTTCAACCGCCACATTCCATAATTAACCTTCAATCTTCGTTCATCAAGATGCTAAGCCTGTAACTCTGAAACAAAAAAAAAAAAAAACAAGAAATTAGACATACAGTAAAAATTAATAAAGAGAAGCTACATTTCGAGAAACACAAACCTTTCTCTCAAGTCGATCTAACCAAAATATGTATTAAGCTAAGTCTTAGTATCAAACACATACATTAATATTAATCAAATATCAACATATATATTAAGCTAAGTATTTGTGTTAACTATTCAAATAATATATAATTGTTTTAGATGTTCGGTAATATTTTCGTATATTTTTGATGCATATTAGGAATTGAGATCATATAGATTATTAATATTTTTTGAGATTTTAAAACTTCCGTATTTTATTGGATATCCATTTAGATTTAGGTTCGGTTTAAATAATACACATAATTTAAAATACCATAAAACAAGATTTAGTATTTATGTTGGATTCAAATTAATTCGGATTCATTTTATCGGGTTGAGTTTGCTTCAGTTTTTCGGGTTCGGTTTATTTGCCTAATCTTATCTAAAGGCTTTAATCAAAGTTTTTATTATTATCTAATCAGTTTAAAAGACCAACAAAATTTCTCAAAGTAATATTAGTATATGTTTTGATACACATCTTTGGGCTGTATTGTTCTCTGTTTTGATGGCCAAATGACTCCTTAACAAAATGTGATTCACGGTTAAGCTGGTCAGCTTTGTAATAAAAATAAAAGAGAAAGCTTATATAAATAAACCGTACTTTTCATATTTTCTTCTTTTTTTTTCCAGAAAATTAGAACAATTGACTCAAAGCTATATGCTTTATCTTTCACGAAAATTAAGAAGTTGTATCCAATTTGGAAAAGTAGAGAAAAATTTACAGAGAAGGACCCATTGGTGATCAATCCTTTTCCCACAGAATTTCCGAAGTATCTTATTTATTTATTTATTTATTTATTTTAGTCGGTTTATTCTATTTCACATCTTTCACAGACGTAAAAATAAAAAACTTCCAAGCAAAGAATACTTTGTGAAGGTTTAAAATTAATGTTGAGTTAGTATGATCTGGGATGGATATATAAGAGCGTGTCCATCGGTGGGTTTTACACAGAATTCTACAAAAAAATAAATATTAAAATAATTACATGAAGAAAGAGAATATTAGGAAAGGTTCCATACAGAGTATTTTTGGCACTGGTTGGTTTATCATTTACAAACACAATTAATTTTAATCAGAAATTTTTATTATGTTTTAATATTATTAATTAATGGTTTGTACACTGACTTTTAGAATTCCACCGTTGGTGGTGCTCTAAGGACTATTAATTCAAGAGGGTAAACATTTAAACCCCCACACCACAAAAAAAAATTGTTATGACCTAACACCTAACCCAACGAGGCCAACGCTACTTTGTTCGATTTCACGACGTTTTGGTAGGTCTATTAAACTGCATTATGTTGCTTTCACATTAAACTTGTCAACCTGTTTAATCCCGAAGTTATCTTTATTTTTTCTTAGGGCAGGTTTAACCAAAAACGGCACGTATTATTTAAGTCATTTTCCATTATTTATAAAAAGCATATCATGTTCTTTTTTTTGTGTGAAAAGCATATGATATTCATTGTACACTTTTAACGTCTTATAAGTTTATAACATATAAACATCGTAAGGTTAACCATTATTCTATCAAAAAATGTTTATTACACTTGTAGTTGTAGCTATAATAATATTTATATAATTAAGTATTTCAAACTACTCAAATCAACCAATAATAACCAATTTTCAAAATATAAATACTCACGCCAAATTACATGATATATAGAGAACCTGCTTAATATATATATAAATCGAACATATCAAACCGTGTAGATTTTAGATTTACCATTCATCCGTTCCAATTTAAATCAAATGGGTCTAACAAATAGGATGTTAGATTCAATCTATCTAGATCCCTAAATAACAGTCTAGCTTTCTAATTTTTTTTTTAAATTAGAATTTTACTTTTAATAATATTTTTATTGATTCCTTGCATTTAAAATTTGATAAGCACAACGTATGTTCACAATTTTGTTGAAAGTAACATTGTATTAAATTATATTTTATATTTTTGTGTTTTATACAATTCTAAACATCAAAATGATTAATATTATAAAAAATTAAAAATTATTATGTTATATAACATGTTAAACAATCTGAAAATCTCAATACACGTCATTTTTTATTTTCTCTCTAGCGTCTAGCATCATTCCAAACATCTCTACTATACTAAAAGGGCGTAATACTTCACCCTCCTTAAGCCACATCGGACAGTTTATTCTACCAATGGGATCTCTCTATTTGTCCAACTCAGCAGCTACTTTCCATTCGAGTGGGCTTAAGATTTTAGTTTCCTAGAGTGGGCTGTTAGTTGTCGTGCAAATTGGCCCGTATGAGCCGCAACATCACTAAACTTTTACGGAGCAAAAAAACCCTATATTTCCCAAATCTAATCTGAGACCTCTTCGTCTTCTTCGAGTTCTTCGTTTCGACGAGTTCATTTCACTGGCAATCAATTCTCTCCCACTCCTCTAAATTCTTTATTGTGATTGAATGTTTCTCTTCACTTTCTCACATCTGAACTTCTATATAAGAACCTCTAAATCGATGCTTTCGAACATCAAAAGTTTCCTCCCCCTTACGATTATACAAAACCATGAAATCAACCGGTGTAAACGAGTCACTGACAGCATGCAACGATGCGGCGGTTCCCTCTGGTCCGGTCAAATCCGTAGGTCAAGACGGTGTCTCTTCCGACCATCTCATCTCAATGAAACCACAAGGCCTACCGGCAGAAAACTCAAGGGCGATAAAACCAAGCCCAAAACGCGGCTCTTCTTCCGGTGTCAACATCATCGGTGGGGCCAAAGTAGCCGTCTCTGCCACCGCCAAGGGAAAATCGATCGTCTCCAACGACGTTGGGAAAGTGCTAACCTTCAAAGATGTTACTCTAGGGCCTAATAATGTGGAGGTCCGGTTTCGATTGATTCACTTTTGGGAGGCCTGGAATCCCCTATCAAAGTTGCTCATCGGGATCGAAATGCTTCTCATCGATGAAGAGGTAATGAACGCTAAGATTAGCTTACATTTTATCTTCACAACGGATTTCTGCTGTAACCAATGGAAGATTGATTAGTTTTTAAAATCTGTTGTAGTTCAATGGTAATACTATTTTTATGTAATTGTCGTCTCTGAAGTTTTTTTTTAAGAGGTTTTCTGTTAATTTTTTTAAATTATAAGCGGTCAGGATTATTTAACGGTTTACCTTCACAACAGTTTTTAACAACAGAACAGATTGATTTTTTATAGAAATTTGTTGTTGTGGCTTGCGTGTTAATCATTTTAATTATGGGTTATCTGTTAAAGTTGTTGTTCTGTGATGCGAATACTAGGTTATCTAATTGTATGTTATCAAATTATTCTGGCAATAGCTTAATACCGTCATGTAATTGTTATAAAATTACATTAATATTTTTATAACATAATCGGTAAAGATTATTAAACGGTTGACCTTCTTAACAGTTTTTAACTTTAACAACAGAAATGATTGAATTAGTTTAGAAATTTGTTGCTGTGGCTTGCGTTTTAATCTTCTCACTTATGGTTTATCTGATAAAGTTGTTGCTCTGTAATGTTATGTTATCAAATTATTCTGCCAATAGCTTAATATCATTAGCCTGCATTACCTAACTTATATTTCAAACCTTCTTAACAACAGGGCACTGTTATCCAAGGTTTCATCCCCCAAGGAAGGAGTGACACTTATTTGCGTCACTTGAAAGCTGGTGCAACTTATCGACTTACCAGGTTTTTTGGATCGCAGAGCAAGACCATCTACCGTGTGGCTGACCCAAGTGTCACCATTAGTTTCTCATGGAATTCTGTCCTCTCTGAATTCGAAGACAGTACTGTCTGTTTTCCAGAGGATAGGTTCCGGGTCCATGGCCAGAAAGACTTTGAGGCTGCCGCAGATAAGCGAGGTGATCTTTACGGTAAGTTCACACCATTATCATAATCCACACTGGTTGTATAGGAACATTGTGTACTTTGAATTGAAAACCTATAATATTGTTTACTCCACCTTCTGATATTCAGCTGAAAATGGATAGTGTTGTAGCCTAGGATTTAATTTAATACAGTCTGCGATATTTAGACCCGGAATCTGTGTTTATGAGATATAAAGCAGTGTTTTCACTGTCCTCGCATGCAGATTATATCGGCCACATCAAACTTGTGAATGGGGAGGTACCCAATGATAAACTTATCATTGACAAAGCAGAGCTAGCTGCATCTCGCCGTCTTGAGCTTCATGTTCAAACACATGAGTAAGTTAATCTGCATCTTTGTCCATATAAACATCTAATTTAAAATAACAACCGATTTTTTTTAAAAAAAAACTTAACATGGTTGTTATAGAGAACCGGTGATGAAGCTGTATCTGTGGGATCAAGCTGCGCTCCAGTTCTGTGAAAAGTTTAAATCATCTGGAGGCATTGCAAGTGTTATCTTGGTCACCACCTTGAATCCAAAACGGGTTGGAGGTTTGTATTACGAAATTTTAAAATATGATAGGTAGCAGGAGAGACAACTCTTTTTAGTCTAGACCGACTATGGATTAAATCTTCTAATACAAAGCTATTGATTGATATTGGTCCATGATTTTTCCCACATCACAAAACTGTTTATTTGACAAGTTGGTTAATAGAAAATACTCGAGTAATCTAGATAGGACCTGAGATAAGCTAATGATGGTATTCTTTTTATTTTTAAAAACAGATATTAATAGCAAAGTAGGAAAACCAGTTTTAACGAATACATGTTTCACTATAATTTATTGTGACATGGTTTTTCTACTTACCATGGTATTCGTTTTGTTCTAGGTGTCTTATTCATGTCTTCTACGACGGCTTCCCGGGTATTCATAGACGTTGATATCCAAGAGACACGCTCCTATCTGAGTTGGTGAGGTTTATGATTCTATGTTTTCGAAAATAATTTAAAATCCTCCACATACGTGATGGCTACTTTTATATTTGATTCAGGTTGAAATCAAACTACGATGTGGCCAACAGAGTTAATGCCACGGTCGTGACAAAGCCTGAAACAGTGACTTTGGGTGATCTCCTCACCTACATGAAGCAGCCATCCGCGAAAGGTATTATGCTCCCTTATGTAATGATACGTTGAATACGGTAATGTGAGTGTTTCATTTAATTTACAACATTTTTCTAGGTAGCTTCGTTTGAGTGCACAGCGACTATTGATGATGTTGTGCACGGTGCTGGGTGGTATTATATAGGCTGTGGTGTGTGTCATACCAAGGCAATCAAAGGGGCAACTACACTTATGTGTAAGAAGTGTGGAAAGAATGAAATTGTTGGTGTGCCATAGTAAGTGGTTTTCTATTGCTCACACATTTTCTTTGATTGCAATGGTTAGTAACATCTCTCTGTTGTAGGTACAACTCGAAGCTGTCTGTGTATGACCACAAGGATCAAGCCGTCTTTGCTGTTCTTTGTGATGCTGGTGAGGAGTTGACTGGAAAGACAGCTGCTGAGTTGGTTGATAACTACTACCAGGTATGATATGAACATGCACATTTGTAAGATTTTACAAGTTATTCTCTGAGGGAAAAAATTAACAATATCTAAATCTGTGTCAGGCCAACAACATTGAAGAAGAGGACCACATTGTGCCAGTGCCTCAGGCTTTAATTGGTACCATAGGACTGACCCTGAAATTTGTTGTGAAGGTGTCTGCTTATAATCTGACTGGTAAGTCCCAGACTTTAACCGTGACGAAGGTCCTCCCTCTTGAGACACAAGAACCTGAAGCCAGCATTGGAGAGGAAGCAGAAGAGGGACCTGAAAATGGAAGGGAGGCTGAAGCAGATGAGTCAGGGAAAAGGAGTGCTGATGGGATTGAGTGTGAAGGAGCCTAGCGTACTAAGCATGGCTAATGATACTTAGAAGTGGTTCTCTTTCAATTTTATACTTTGCTTTCTTTTTCCTTTCTCATGGAATTTCCTTTGCAGCATTATGAAAAACTGGTTTTGTTTCAATTTAGACTTCTGCTTTCTTTTTCCTTATTAATGGGTTTCCCTTCGCAACATTTTCCCTAGGGTCTTCACTTACAATCCATATAGCAGCTACCTATCTTCTCTTCTGCCCAAACATTATCTCCTAACTGTTTAATTTGTTATCGTATAAGTTACTCTACTAATAAATTCCTACAAAAAAAAAAATGTGTGTACAACACTCTCACTCAATATTATTTCTTTACTTTTTGTTTGCCATCTTCAGTATTAACTCTGCTATTATAAAGCATGCAACGCTCCGTATGGTAGGTTTTTATTTATTTGCTTGATTGGAAATTTTCAAACGCCAAACCTTAGAAATACTAGCTTTAGTGAGACGTATTTCTATTTACTTTCTTTGATACTAAAAAAATGAAAAACAGTACTGTTGTGAAATTTAAAAATTTATGAAAGAATAATAACTTCCAACTAATTAATCACATATTTCACTTCTAAATACACCAAACAAATCAATTGCTAACAAAAACCAAAAAAACATTCCATATTATTACATCGATATGAAAATACACTATATATCTTTTAATTGGTCTCCATTTGCTTTACAGTTATTAATATAGCGAAAACCCCAAAAAAAAAACATATTAAAACTATTATTTTGTTTAATTTATTAATACATACTTATAGTGAAAGACATACAATTACATAACGTTTTTTAACACTAAAACCTTTTCAATTCTAAATAATAATATTATTATTATTACCATTATAAAAAGTGTGTAAATTATAAATATGATGTTCGCCTCTCAAAAAATAATTAGGGTTTAATATTAGGGTATACAAATATATACAAAGCAAGAAAAAACTATAAGCCCCGAACAAATGTATTCTGTTGTGACCACTACTTTCAAACAACAAAATACAATGGTTCCATATGACTTTATCCCCGGGTAATCAGCCTCCCTTATCAATATTGGCATAGACATATTTAAAACTATTAAAAAAAGAAAAACATCAACCAAATAACCCGGGCGTAGCCCGGGGAACGGATCTAGTATATATATATTTCTTAAACATCAACTAAATAAACAGAGGGTGTGCATCTTAAATGTAAACATAAGATAAATGAAAAGAACACCCCAGAGGGTGTATGTAAACCTAAGATAAATTAAAAGAGCACCCTAGAGGGTGGTACATAACAAAGATAAATTAAAAGGACACCCCCATTTCAGAATAAATATATCTACTCCATCTTTATTCTATATTTTTAGTTTGCTTGCAAGAAAGGGACCTTTTCTTTACACAAAGTACAGACTTTAAGAAGATAATAGAAGATGCAATTTAAATTGATACTCTGATTGAATTGATATATCTTTGGTTGAGCAATCAAATATTTGTATGGAAAAACAAAAGCCACGTCATTTGAATATTTGAGCAATTTATTGCCCATGTTACTGGTTGTATTTTTGTTTGTCCCGTTTGCCTTATGGTACGTCGTTTTCAGTCTATTGCTTATGATTTTGGTTATTAAGTTGTGAATTATGACAAAAGAAAATTTGTGAATTAAAAGAAAACTAAAACCCACCCGTATTCAGAAAACTATACAGTGACGAACTTAGTCGTACAAATCATTATTTGTATACTTACGACAATATATACAGAAGAAAAATATTGCTCATTAGCCATACGGAAATGAGATTGCTTTCAACCCATTTAAATATTTAGAAAATAATTTTATAAATTTTAAATTGTAATATATAGAAAAGTTTAAGAAGATTGATTTAGATATCTTTGTTACCAAAATACATTTAACTTTTCAGAAGTATATCTAGATAAAACCTCTATAGTTAAAGTACTTTAGTTGTAATAATTTAAAGATGAATATTCTATTGGAAAGTGATTTACAATACCATATAAATGAGATCAAAGCACGGAGAAAGATTATGTGGTCACTACATGATTAATAAACATGACTTCAGAGCCTTGGAAAATTGACAGTCAGAGTCTACGTACCAAATGAACAGGCGTAGATGATCCGTTAGCCATGGACGATCAAAATGTTATAGATTTATCTTGAATTTTTTATCCATCCGGAAGTTAGTTTCATGTCTTTAATAAAGTTAGTTTAATTTTTTATTTAGAAAAAAAAAGTATATTAAAAATAAACTCATTCCACCCATGTTTAAATTCTTACGCCAACTTATTCTACACGGCCTGACTTTAAAGGGTCATATATATAAAGCCCATTAGTTATAAAGTAGAAGATTTTTTTGTGGGTATTTACTAGCAAGGTTTGTGATTGTTTAAATAGGCCCATTTAGTTATATATGCACAACTGAATTTTTATTTTTGGTCAAATGCACAACTGAAAGTTTTTGTTGTTTTTTTTTTATAAACTATCGGAAAAATAAAATGATGAAATATTTTCATCAAAAGAGTATTAGATAGATAATTATATATAACAAACAAAACATATAAGAGTAACCCATAGTAACAATGCAACAACCTCTTTTCTTACATCCACAAATAACTAACCAATTTTCTATTTTTTTCTGGGACGTTTATGCATAGCCCGCCATACCGATATTTGAACCGGAGCGGTTTGCTTTGTGAGTAGGCGGAGTAGAGACAGATTTGGTAAAGTGGAAGTAGTAGTAGACATTAAGGATCATTGTTGCAACCGTAAAAACCGCTCCTGCAATGAAAATTCCTTTGCGTAATGATTCACACGAGAAGGCTTCTGCGCTCAAGTACTTTGTGTGGTATGCGTTCTTTGTCGCTCCCGCAATTAAACAAGCTTCAGCTACCAGAAATGTCATCCTGCAATTATCAAAATTGGAGATTAACTTTCTGTTTTGGTTTCAACTTAAAATCTAAAAGTGGTCCGTGATGATTGTTTTGAGAAAAAAAAGAAGCTAATGTGGACTCTTACCAAGAAGAGATGAAATAGATAATAGACCAAGCACGGTCACTTCCTGGGGATAAAGGTCTACCAAAGCACATACATTTGGTGACACCCATAAGCAATGATTCACTAGAGAGGAGGAAAAGAAAAGCTCCAACTCCATAACCAGTGGCTACATCAGAGCTATAAACACAATACGTTGCATTTGTTATTGGGTCTTTTATAGATGTTCCCTGGCACAAAGAAAAAATTATGCGTTAGTGTCACACAAATTAAATCAATCTATACTTAGTTACATAATCTCAAACGGTTATGTCATAGTGTTTTAAATTTCCCTAATTTAAATCTAAGAAATATTAGTTGAATCGCAAAAAAGTAACTCTAATTACGAAACAAATCCAGATATAGATATACTCTACGACAATGTTCATCAGAATCAGCCTATCAAAATCGAAATAGAGCTAATCAAGAGAGTAAAAACCCTAACTTAGAGAAACAAAGTGAGAGAGAGAGAAGAGTGGTTTACAATGCTCCGGCGACGTTCGGCGGCGATGGAGAAGCCGAAGGCGACTAAACACAGAGCGATGACGAGGACGAAAACTAGAGTAGAGCCTTTCCCTTCTCCCATATCTCCGGTGAACGAGAGAGAGTTCTTTTTTTTGTGTGCAGAGACGGCGAAGTGAGTGAGAGAGCTGGAAACGAGTGAGTAAACTAAAGCGAAAAACACGACCAGTAAGTCTAGTCGAAACGATGAACACGCACGAAACAGTGCGTGTATATCAGTTTAAGTTATGTAAATGTGCGTAGATGATTCACGTGGGCTAAGAAGCGCGTTGATAAGGATTATTAAATTTTGTGTTCGGTTCTTTTTAAAAAGTTAAGTGGGGCTTACCGCTTTCCAAGATAAAGGTCATTTTCTAAAGTGCTGGCCTTAATGGGCTTTTAAACCCAAAACCTTTCCTTCGTAAGCCCGATAATTTGTGGGCGGTTTTTTATGTATACAGTTTACAAATGTGAGTAAATTTTAGCTGCAAAAAACTACTATCACACTACAAAGTTGCAAATTTCTCTATTTATTTATAATAATAATAATTAAAGTATTTGATGTTTCAAAATTGCGATTGATACAATATTTCATTTTTTGTCCTACACTGCAGGGAAAAGTTACATGTCGAGGATAATTGATTTTTGAGTTGTTTGTTTGTTTCTTCACTAGTTCGATATAAATGAGTGGCACTACATACTTTGATGCTTTAATAAATTTGTATTAATTCGAAATAAAGGTAGCGAGAAATCCGGCCATAAAGTTTGACGAATCTTTGGGTTTGATTGACATATTAAAAGCAAAACAAAAAAATAAATTATTACAAGTTTGATTTTTCTCAAGTTGTAAGCAAAGAATCGAAATAGATCCACAGACAAAGAAATAATGAGTTGTCCTCATGTCACTTGCCTGGTCTGTAACCAACTAACCATTACCTGGTCGAATGTATGTGTGTGTATATACATATATATAGATATTATTCCGTATTACTCTAATATATTATTCTATTTTTACATCATCATAGAATAATTTCATTGACCAAATAAATAAATTCTTTGATTAGAATTTATTCTAATTTCTCTTCCTTGTTTCTTCAAAATAAGGAAAAAAACCAAGTGACAGGAGAACATGTACACAAATTCATTACTTCGTTTAAATGAAAATGCACTCTAATCCACTAACGTTTGTCACAAAACAGAGAATAAATAAGACTCGAAAATATTCAGTTCCTTTAAAATTTACATATTTACAAAAGAGACAACATAGAAATGATATCTTCACATTTCAAAATTCTTTCCTTTTTTCTTACAATAAGGAATAAACACTAATGCTCTTATTTTCACTAATGAAACCAAACCACTCACATCTCTTCCCATTTTTACTTACAAAAATTCCCAAATTGGACCCAAAATCCTAAATTTTATATTACAGCCCTTTTTTAAATTACCCAAATTTTTAACATTTTTTTCACCAAAAAAACCCCACATAATCCATCATCATAATCACTAAACCTCTTTTTAATTGTTTTTTTAATCCATATCTGTTATATATTTGCAGTTCTCTTTTAAGCAAGAGTCGGAACGCTGCTGCGTCTGTCCCTGTCAAGGCAACTGAATCCCACGACACGAACAGGAGGTTTGTTCCCAAAGTTAGTCACCGCCCTAACACAACCGCCACCACCGCTCCTTGGAGACGACGGTGGTGGCGGCTTGGTTGCGCGTGGAGTGGTCAGAGGAGGAGGAGCCACCACGAAAAGCTCTTCCTTAAAGAGTGAATCTTTTGTTAAAGGGTTAGAAACTCTACTTGGCGGTGACCCTGTGAAGAAAGGATCTTCTTGCTCACAACCACCACCCTGTAAACAAAACATAAACACAAGATCAATCTCACATATATAACAAAAAAAAAAAAAGCAAACTTTTCATATCAAATCTAGATAATAATAATAATAATATACCTTTGTGAGGATGAAATCCAACATCTCCTTCCTTCTTAAATTCGATTCACATATCTCCATCTCATGACTGAAAACAAAAAATAAAAGTCAAAACCAATCAATAAAGTTGCTAGCGTTACATATATAATTATGAAAACTTTAGATCTGTTAATTACCTGACTTGCCACCGGAGAGATTGAGCAAAGTGATGGTGGTCGAGGACATCGACACGACGTGGTTGAGGACAAACAACGGAGGAGTTTCTCCTGGTCTCCTCGAACGAGTTTTGTTGGACTCCAGAGTTGTTCATCTTTGTTACTGATCAAAAATAATCAAATCAAATCAAATAAAACAAGAAGCGAAATACAATTCTTCTTTAATAGATTGAAGAAAGAGGAGGCAAGAGAGGAAAAATGTTATATACAGGATAAGGAAGAGGAGGTGGTCAAAGGGTAACGTGTTTCTTATGGAGATCTGGTCACAATCGCATATATTTAATTAATTAATTAGGATACTTATTAAAATTCAATTAAGACAAAGAAATGTAATAAAAAGTTAAAAACAAGTGACTTATTCGACGATACTGTTTTCTGAAAAAAAAAATATTAAAATTTTCTTTTGCTTTTCAATGAATTAAGAATGCTTATATATACAGTGATGATGCTGTCAAAATCATAGTGGAGACATGATTTTTTTATTTCCTTCACTTATTTAAAGGATAATTAAGTAATCTAATTAAAAGTCATCAGAAAAAGACATCTTTCATAAAGACAGATCGGAGGATAACACAAACTCTGGTTCGATGATATCTATGTCTTTAAAACAAACAGAAAGGAAAGTTTTAGATCCAAAATACGATAAGACATGGATGAACAAATCAGTTAAGGATCTTCAAGCATCAGTAAATCATTCAGATCTATATATTAATTTTGTATTCAAATCCTATAAATTTAATGATACGATGTATCCGAGAGAGGGAGAGAGAGATACCTGAAGCTCGAAAAGCAAGCGAAGAAGAAGAAAGAGAGATCTGAAGAAAAAGTCTTTTAAGTTAACAGAGGGAAACAGAGAGCCTGCAGCAGACAGCAATGTTTATGGCTGAGGAATCCTTTATTTATTTATTTATTTATTTCCTATAACTTAAAAGTATCTTACTTTTCTGCGTCATAATAGCAAAACGCTTCATTTAGTTCTAATTAACTTTTTTATTAAACACATTTCATAAAATTAGTTTTTTTTCATAAGATTAGTTTTTTTTTTTGCTGTGCATTAATTAGTATTTGAAGTGGATATGTTCACAGAGTAATATTCTATCACCGGCAAAAATAATAAAAACGAAAAGAAAAAAGTATTATTCTAACAAATAATTTGGGAATCTTGATTTTACCAAAAAAATTTGGAATCTTGAAATCAACTCGTGATTTTAATTAGGGTTTTCCTGTTGTGTTTTGTCCCCTATCAACTAGTTTGTATATGAAACCTTTATGATGAGTAAGTAGCTCATAGCCTCATACAACTAACAGGTACGTGACAGCTTTTTTCCTATGAAGCTGTTTGTATCATGTTCTGTTTTGTACGTTCCTCTTGATTCGAGTAATTGATGTTTCGCTGTGAGATTCAGAAGGCAAGGCCATCAGAGGTTGATCCAGAAAGACAACTTCACTTGAGGAGATTAGAACAGTGGTAGAGGTTTTGGTGATGTGATTAGCTTTATATATGCTTCTTGTTTTGGGGAAGTGAATCTAAGTAAAAGAGGAAGAACGTCTGTCTTTTGATCAATTCGGGTGGCTCTCGGTGTTCCATGATCCGTGAGCCGAGTAAGTGGTAAAACCAAAACCGAGGCAGACAGAGGTCACGGACTCAATCCACAGTTTTATGTTCTAAGACATTAAGGCCCAAAGTGTATATTTCCTACTTGGGTCACACAAATAATTATCCAAACGAAGAAAGAAATTATAAGTTATAGGATTCTAGCAAAGAGTAGTCACACATCGATCAACTCCAAAAATTACATTAACTAATGTTTATTTACATTTTTTTTTTTGGTTCAAACACTAATGTCTAACACACAAATGTAGTTTGTACAAATGATACACTAGATCGAATAGCATTGAAATCGATTTTAAAGGGAAAACGATTGTTATATTAAGAACGTTTGGTTTTACTGGTTCAGATGTGATTGGTATTTACTAGTTCAAAGGTGTTGGTGCTTCAATGATATCAGTTCCTAACTTCAAATTTCAAAATTGAATTATGATTGGAGAAATGTTTTTATTTTACTGCTTTCGGAGCCTATATGTACCACGCAAATAATCACACGAAATTGAAAAAGCTACAGATTTGAAAAGCTACAGATAAACAATCCACGAAACAATTCATGTGTACAGTTATATATATCATATATATTTAATGTATACGATAAGCTTCAATATTTCAGAGGGGGCCAATGTAACAACTGTTTTAACTCAGAAATCATAATGAGTACACTCATGCATGCCCCCGGCCTTACCTCTATATTTTAGGGCTTTTCTTACCTTTCTTTGTTACTTTTTTCGACATATAGAGGAAACATATATAGATCTATATATAATATAGGTAGTTGTAACTTGTATGGTTGCAAATATATACGAAGAGATCACTATGTATAACGTTCGTAGAGTGTACATGTTCTAATTTTGCATAATCCCTCAATTCATGTCTAACTAGGTGCGTATATTGCAGTTTCATACATGTTATTCTTTTTTTTTTTGGGCAAACTCATACATGTTATTCTATGAACAGATGAAACTACAGAAAAGCAAAATCATTATGACAGGTTTCGTATCTTAAACTAGTCAGCTAGCTATAAAGAACTAAACATTTCTTCCTAAATTTTTATAATATATAAATGAAAAACCAATTGGATATAATCTCACAAAGAATTGGGAAAACTAATAAAAGTATAGATTTAAGATTGGACTTGTCGTATATATACATATAATATGAGCATTATATATACTAAGGGGCATACCTTGACCCATAATGTCCCTCAAGCTATAGTCCTCTTACTTAAAAGTCACAAAGCAATATACACTTTGAGTTCCATGCTCAGTTCTCTCATTCCTAGAGAGAGATAAAGAGAGACAGAGAAATAAACTGATAAAAAGAGATCTCACAAAGCTTCTCTTCTATTCTTAACTTCTTCTTTTCTATATTCACAGTACTCATGTAGGTGTTTCTATCATCTCATCCTCTCTCTATCGCTCTTGCTAAATATGTATTGAATCTTGTAAGATTTTGCAGGAGAGCTGAAGATTGTAACGCTTTAGATCTCAATAACTTACCTGATGATCCTTCAAGAGATTTTTTCCCATTCTTCGAAGAAGGCTCTTCTTCCTCTTCTTCTTCTGGTACAGATACTCTAATCTTATCCTACTCTCTCTTTTCTTTTACTAGTTGAACTATCATATTTTGAAAACAAAGAGCTTGACTTTCTGCCTTGGGTGTGCTTGTATATGGAAACGAATGAATACTAAGTCAACACCATAATAATTGATTTAAGGTTTGGAAACCAAAGATGTTTTTATCTAATCATTATAAGTACATGATGTGAAGATCTAACTAGTTTACTACTTGAGTAGGAGGGTTTGGAGTGTTTGGAGAGAAGCAAAGCAAAGATGGAAAAGAATATGAATGTAGATTTTGTTCACTCAAGTTCTTCAAATCTCAAGCTCTCGGTGGCCACATGAACCGCCACCGCCAAGGCAAGAACCCCTTCTTCTATAGAATATGTCTATATACATGTGTGTGTGTGTGTATGCATAAATGAACTGAAATTTTGTATTTGTTGATTTTGGTACGTTGATTTTAGAGAGGGAGACGGAGTCACTTAACAAAGCTCGTGAACTTGTTCTTCGCAACGATACCTTTCCTCCTCATCAAGGACCTCCCTCGTTTAGGTACTTTATAATTTCTATATTTTCATTATGAAAATTTTGATTCATCTTCCTGTTAGGTCTTACTATAAACATCACTTGAATCTATCCTTTTTGTATTCTATATAGTTACCATCAAGGAGATGTGCATAGAGGAGACCTGATAACACCATTCAAACCAATGATGTATCCACCAAGACTATTCTCCCCCTCTTCCCTTCTGCCGCCACCACCGCCACGTGTTCAACCTTATATATATCCACCACCGTATCCTCCGATTCCGTCCTCGTTTCCTCACCGTCACACCAACGACTACTATTCGCACAACAGTGGTACACATCAGCAAACCCTAACTAATAGCGGTTGCGGTGGAATTGCACCGCCTGACTCGAGTTACAATTTCATAGGTGCACCCGTGGCTAATGGCTCTAGAGTTGCTCCTCCTATTCCGCACCCTCTACCTCCACATCATGGGCTATAATTAATGAAATGGGAAAAATGTTAATTTTGCTCCATTAAACGTTAAATTTTTATTTATATCGTTTTGTCGGTATTTTGAAAGAGACATGACAAAGTAGTTGATAATGCCAAAAGTGAAATGCAAATTAGAGAGGAGAGTGTTGGTACTTTGGGGTTATTGAAGCAGATTGTATTTGCATGAGCAGCTTTTATCTATTTTTATTTGTTTTTTTCTTATCATCTACTTTCTTTTTCTTTTTTTTTTTGTTTGTTTGTCATGGAGCTGTTTTCTTAGACCATATAAGGTGTTTTGTCGTTCTATATAATATAGTTCTTGATTTTTCCTTTTCCTGAGAAACAAAAGAACATATATAGAACTGGAGAGTGACTGGAGAGAGAAGATATTAAGTTAGATTTGGATTTCTTCAATAGTTGAGGTCTAACTAATTAGTTATGGTTTACTATTTGAAACATTTTAGAACAATAATTTCGTTTTTATGTATTTGATTTATTTTGTTAGTCAATGCATCGTCGTCGCGTTATACGTAGACATGATAAGTAACAATTTGTATTTGATAAATTTTGTTTCTTCTTCACCTTTTCTGTTAAGTAATTGTTTTTTTTAAGCTGAAACGTAGACTAATCTTAATATTCGCAAAAAGCAGTGACCAAATACACTCAGTAAAAGCTTCAGAACTTATATTGGTTTTCACTTTACATATATATCTTCGGAGGACATGTCCTATACACTGATAGATTAACACAAAGCTGCAAATATGATCTATATACATTGTGGAGAGTTATATATATATAGTTCAGTCAAACAATAAAAAGACAATTCAAATATTATTACACAACAAATCGAAGAAAAAAAATTGAAACCTTAACAAAAGAACTACATTTTGTTTCTTGTAAAGTAGTCAAAAGTAATGATCAAAAAGAGAGATAGAACGATCAGACATATGATATCAAGCGGAAGCATGTTTTGTGATTAAAGGAGAAAAGGGAGTAATGCATGAAAAGAAGAAATAAACCATGGTTTTGTGAAAGAAGGCTAACCCTAGATATGTATTTTTCAGTCTTCCCAAGAGTTATATATATAAATAAATGATAAAATCAGAGAGCGAAAGGAGAGAGAGAGATAGCGAGAGGTAGATTGAGTGGATCAGTATAGATATGTGTATGAGAATAAGTTAAGACTCACTACAAATAAAAGATGGACTGAGACATAGACAACTGCGGTAAAGGAGTAAGGACTCATTGATGCAGTTAAGTTTCTTTTGTTTCAGTCTGTCGATTACAAACCTATTAACCTCTTACATCAGCTTTTAGCATTTCTTAGCTTTTTTGTCATCTACCGTTTCTTAGCTTTTCTCCTCAATTTCAACTCTACCCTACTCCTATCATATAATACATATATATGTGTTGATTCACTCTCTTTTAATCTCCGGGCATGTGTACACATGTTTTCAACAAATTGTAAGGTAGATAACCCATTTTTAGGAGCAAAACTAAAAAGAATATAAACGCAAAATGGTTGTACATCTAGTAATGTAGTGTACTATTGTAAAATGTCCTAATTAAAAAAACATTTAAAGTAGCTAGTGACATAACATTACATGATAGGTGTGTGCCTATATCTTGAAGTATTCAGTCTAATTGTAATCCCTGACTTCCATGAAATAATAAAAATGGAAAACAAGAGACTTTTATAATTTAAGAGAGAAACGAGTGAGTAGGAGCCAAGAGTAGATACTAGATAGAATATGTGTGTTTCAAAAGGATGAAACAGGAAAGTAAAGCTTTTTCTATTTATGCAAAAAAAAAAACAGTTCTTAGGGTTCAATTACCAATTGCTATACTGATTATTAGTAGTTTAGTAGAATAGGCTGCTGAATTTTCTGTTCCTATACAATGACACCGCCCCAACTCTAGACACACTATAACCATACATTTAATTACTTAAATCTTTTTATAGATTTTCATAGGTTTGTTTACTTTGGGTATGTTTTAAGTAATGCAGCTTTTTGAGTAAATATTGAGGCTGGATAGTAAGAGCGTAGGATATGATCATACACCTAGTTCCGGTACACACTAAAGCATTACCGCAATGCATAGCTAGCCGTTTGTAAATTGTCATACTTTTCTATAAACAACAAATATAATATAATATCTTTATAAAAAAAACAAATATAATATCATTTTCTCATACAAACTCGAACGCCAACGTAAGAAAATTGCGTTTTAAACGTAAAAAACAAAAAAAATATAGATTGATACGTCTTTGTGTTTTTCATTGAATGAAATTATCTAGGATGTTTTGGGATAAGTGAAATCAACAATTTAACCTTTCTTGGTAAAGATAGAATGATGGGGAAGATTATAGCACAGCAGCGATTTTGCCAAACCTTCTCAGAGATAGAGAAGGTATTGACTTTTGTCTTAAAGTCTTCAACTTCTATCTTTATTTGATAGTTTGATGTTCCAGATGTGTTAAATTTGAATAACAGTGAAATAAGCAAAGAACGTACACTTTCAGACCAAATCAGAATAAAAGAAAACAAAAGTCATTGAAAGACACATGTCATACAAGAAGAACAGACACATTTCATGATGGCTTGTAGTATTTGGTGGCCACGAACGGCATCTTAGTGATGTTACCTTCATAAGGTTTCCCACGGACCAAGATCTTGACTTTAGTCCCAGTCTTGTGCTGACCAGACTTCACATACCCCATGGCTATGTTCTTCTTCAAGTTCGGACTAAACCCACCACTCGTGATCTCTCCAATCTTGTTACCATTCTCATCATGTACTTCGCTATGCGACCTAGCTGGCGGTCCTGAAGAGAAAAATCCAACCCTTCTGATCGTAGGCCCATCTTGAAGCTGTTTAAGGATCACATCCGCACCAAGAAACCCTCCTTCAGCTCTTCTACGTTTCCCTATGGCCCATGTGAGCCCAGCTTCAACAGGAGAAATGTGTTGCTCCATGTCATTGCCATATAGACAAAGCCCTGCTTCTAGCCTGAGACTGTCTCTTGCTCCTAGACCTGTAAGCCTTACCTTTCCCTCGGATTTCTCCAAGATTGCTTTAGCTAAATCAACTGCATGCTCTGATGGAACAGAGATCTCAAACCCGTCTTCCCCAGTGTACCTATAAACACAAAATAGACAGATTCATTGACTGTTTTGATAAAAAAATTCTACTTAGAGACCAAGAAACAAGAAGTTACCCGGTTCTGGTAAGGAAGCAGGTGGAACCATTAATGTCAAGAATCTGAAACTGTCCAAAGTAAAGCTTGCTCAAGTCTTCTTTAGTCAAGTGTTGAAGCACCGGAGCAGCCAAAGGACCCTACACCACAGCACAAGGTTCAAGATCACAATGTACTTGCAACTACAAGTAAACAGCAAAGGGGACAATATTTTGGTTCAAACCTGAAGGGCGAGAAGAGATCTCTCATCATGTATATGCCACGAGACATCACCACCTTTAGATTTAAAAGCCTTCATATGTTCTTCAATATGAGCCAAATCCTTATCTCTACAACCAGCATTCACCACCAAATAGATATGCTCATCAGTCACTTTAGTAATCACAGAGTCATCAATAGCACCACCCTTCTCATTAGTAAACACTGTTAAACTCCCTGTTCCAGGAGCCAAACCAGCCACATCAGCAACCACGAGAGTCTCCAGGAAAGAAACACAGTCTTTGCCTTTAAGACTCAAACCACACATATGTGCAACATCAAACAAACTCCCATTGACCCTGCAGTTAACAGTTGAGTCAATGATGGAGTCTTTGTACTGAATTGGCATACTCCAACCAGCAAATGGAACCATCTTTCCACCGTGGGAGACATGGAAGTCGTGAAGTGCAGTCTTTTTCAGGTCAGCACTAGAGGCTAAGTAGCGGCGTGACAGAGCTTTCTTGTCGGATTGAGCAAGACGGCGGGTTATGGATTGCCCTAGCTGCCATAGACTCCCACCTCTCATCTTAACTTCCTCCTCAAGCTATATAAACACAGTTTGATCACATGAATGATGAAAGGAGATTCATATAACAATCTAATAGATAAAAAAGGAGAACACTTTTAATCATATAAAGCCTTAACTATAACATACAGATTCATTGTATAATATACGAAAACTAATCTGGGAACTTAGTAGTCCCAATGAGATTGAAGAAATCTTACAAAAGATATACTTTGTTTTGTCTCTACTCTCTGGAGCTTCTTCCAGATTCCTGACACTATTACTTTTGTAGTGTTATTGTATTTAATTGATGATTCACTACTAAATATATAAATATTGGTATCATTGAGGAAATGGACTTTGTATATATTTTTGAGGATTTAAAAGATTCAATATTGAGATTTGGGGGTTGGTGTGGTGGAGGAAAACATCCAAAGGAAGAAAAGGCCTAGGCAACCGCATCCTCATTGAGTGGTAAGTATTGTTCTCTCTATCTTCTTGTTGAAACTTTTGTTTTGTGGTAGGACATTCTTTATGTTACGCATGCTTCTATGAATATGAGTCATTGGTACCACTTTGGATTAATATGAATAAGGCATATTCTTTCTAAGTTTTTTTTAATATGGATTCAAAGACATAAGGAACAAGCACATAGCTCATGATACACAAAAGTCTTCCTTTATTTCAGCACATGTTTATTTTTATTATGGTTTTCATTTTGAAGCTGTGATCGCACCATCATCATTGCTCTCCTCACCCTAGTTCCTTCATAAAATCTTTGTTGTCTACCAGAACCTGTCATTGTTAACCACCAAAAAAACATTTTACCAAAATCTAACACTGTATCTAAATGGAAACCTTGAATTTGACCAGACTAGATTCATCATCTATTATTTCTAAAATCACTTACCGTTTTCCAGCCATCTGGATCAAGGAATGAGACAATCTTGGTGCCAATTCCAGGAAGAGGTCCTGGTTCTCTAGTGATATTTCCTCCTAGCTCTTTACTGACTATCTTCACAACTTCACCGCTTTTGTACACATCATCCGTGCCTATTGCAATCTGTTCATTACATTTTAACAATCAAAGGAAACAACACAAACCTGTTTAAGACAAACATAAACATTAGGCAACAGTCTTAAGCACACACCTGTGCATATGCATTTCCCTTTGTGTACTCAGTCACGCCGTAGTTATAGGTTAGCGCCAAAACTATCGACTCATTATATCCCATCATGCCTATGGTGTACTGTTTTATCCCACAAAAACAAAGCTCATTCAGGTAAAATACTTATCTACATTGTAACACTGATTACTCACCTTGTATTCAGGTTTCTCAATCCTTGTCAAGAGTTTCATCCCAAGGGCCTGCCGGGAATTAAAAGTGAGTTATAAAAACAAGAAACTCTACTAATGAATCAAACATAAAAGAAAAACTTTCGATAAGTTAGATGGACTTCCAACCTAAAACCAATTCGTGATTAGTGGAATGGTACATTTATCTTATATACTATTAGGATATCTTTCAACTACCGATGTGGGACATTTGTCCCTAATATCCCCTCGAGATGATGCTCTTTGAGCGTCAATCTCAGAATGCTCGGGAAATGATCGATGGACCATCTTTGGGCACGGATCGATAATGGATCGGATTGGACTTTATGGATCATGGATCAGTTGCATTGTGTTACCTTTTCGTAGAATTTGATGGCGCGGTCAAGGTCACCAACACGAAGCATGACTTGGCAGAGTGGTTCAGGAGTTGGACCTCTTTGAATGAGCTCAAAAGTGTAACCATCAGGGTCCTTCACAAATGCAATAATACTGCTTCCACCTTTGACTGGACCAGGTTCTCTGGTGACGTTTCCACCCTTGGCGCGGACGGTCTCAACCATTTTGTAAACCTAACACAACACTTTTCGATGATGATCTGACATGCATTTTATTGATTCTTGAAATCTAAAATAAAAGTAGGAAGACGACTTACATCTTGAGTTGAAATGGTGAAATGTCCGAATCCATCTCCAATGTCATATGAGCTAACACCATAATCTGTAAAGATTAAAAAAAATGTTACTCGTAAAACATAAGAACCAAGGAGTTTCAATTTTGTGTTGAAGTGCATCAGTAGATATTGGAAATATCTGAATGTGAATAAAAGCTAATAGAAGACAAGAGAGTGTGTATATATATATATATATATATACTGTAAGTGAGCTCCACAGCGAAGTGTGATTTTTCAGGTCCAAAGCCCATAAAAGCATTAGAATACTTCTCCTCAGGGACATCTCTTTTCCTCGACACCTTCATGCCAAAGCACTCACTGTAAAACCTGGTCAAGAATATCTCATAATAATAAGGAACTAATTGTTTGTTATATATAAAATGAAGAAAGAATAGTAATGAAACAGAAAAGAAAGACATACTTGATTGTGCGGTCAAGATCACCAACACGGTAGACCACATGGAAAAAACGACGCGTATCATTCTTTGGCCAATCTAACAACTCACCATTTGGAGCAACATCAGCTAAATTTCTAAAAGAATCAGAGAAAAAACAAACTTTGGGAACATTAGATCCCATAAGACAAACAAATAAGATCCAGAAAACATCTGCAGTGCAGTAACTCACCTGAGAGATGATGCACGAGGTGAGCAGATACCACTGGACTTGGAATGTCCGTCACTTGAATAACACTCAGTTTCTAACTGACTGACACCTTTTCTGCTACTGCCTGTGATATAGTAGTGTTACCATCAAAGAAACATTACAACGGACAGATTAATTATTTTTGGAACGATGGTGAAGTTAAAGCTCCAACCTAACAGCCATTTAGGTCTGATTATCAGTTGTGATTACATTACCTGACGACGAAATGTATAAAAAGATGATGAAACCAAGATATATGTATGATTTAGCCATTTTTGATTTGTCTGAAAACTCTTCTCGATATCGACTTTAGCCTGCATATCTCCTATTATATATACATGTAGAGATTTATATAATATAAACTTATCAATCAAAATTACCTATTTTAAGATCTCGTAGATATATACGAGGTGTGTGTAATCATATTTCACCAAATTAATTTTTTAGTCTGTTTTTATATACGTTTTTCATGTTTCATTTGATTCAAAATTTATTACATCCCAATATTATCAATAAATACTAAATAGTATTAACTTCAGTCAAAAATATACTTCTCAAGAAAAACGATTTTTGTTGACAGCATTTATTATGAGGATTTAGTGACAAGCTGTTTCTTAGTTTTGGAAAGTATTTTTTCTTTTTTCTTTTTTCTTTTTTCTTTTTTACTAAAGTTTTGGAAAGTATTCATGTCCTGATTTGAATTGGACGATCCATCTTATCTTATGTACAACAAAGCACCAGCTTTTGTACTATTAAAGTTTTTTTTCTAATGCTGGATAATTATGACAAACGATTACTGCCGACAATTTTATATGTCATACGAGAATTTCCGACACTGCCACTCCATGAGATCCACGTTGGATATACTCCTTGTACAATACTAAATATTTCTTGTAAACTTTTTTTCTTTTCATAATTCTATGTTTTATTAGAGTCTAAACTTAGATCTCCTGGTATAGAATTATTAATAAACTTTTAATCAAACCACTGAAATAAAAGGACTTCCACTACAAATAAATATTATGAAACTAATCATAGTTAGACAATCACTAAAACATTAGATATGTTTGATATTGCAGTCTTTGCAGATTTGTGTCAGTTAGTTACCAGGTTATTCACTGAACATAAGATTTTATATACAAGCATGTTCTTAACAATAAGCTAACATCAATTGCTTGTCTCAGCACATAGAATTTGAAGCTAAGTTTCGAATATGAGAGAATTGTAAGACCACCCGCAACGTGGGGTGTTAGTGTAATCTTTAGGTTTTGGGGATAAAAAAGCATTAAACAAATCAGTAAGGCTAAGGAGCAATCCTTAATCAAGGGGTTTAAGGATTAAGTCCTTACTGAACGGCATCCTCAACACTTGTCTTTTCTCTCTTCTTCTTCTCACTTTCGCGCACAACTTCGTGTCAACAAATCAATCCCGACCAATCGGTTAAGAAAATAGATCACCTTTCGAAAAAATGATGATGCGATTATAATCATCCGGAATCGCAGCTAACCCTCGTTTTCAATCCAACCCTTTCTTCAACCTCCAGAAACCCACTTCCCTCCACGTCCAAATCGATCAACTGAAGAGAAGAAACTTCTCCAAAATCAGCGACGGCAGCTACGCTTTCAATGCTGCAGCTTACGAGTCCGAGCATCTGAGTCTCGACGCTGCTGCGATGGAAAACATGGCCGAGAAAGCAAAGAAGGAGATTGAATCCGACCGATAGCGTGGAAATGGATCATCCGAAAAAGATGTGGGATCTAATGGAAGTTCGGAACTACGCTATGAGCCCTAGATCCGTTCATCATCGTATCCCTAACTTCGTCGGTGCGGCGGATGCTGCCGCAAAAGTAAGCGACTTTAACCGTTTTTTTTCAGGTTATGGGTTTTGTTTGGAGGATGTTAAAGTTGCAAACTTTACGGGTTCTTTTTGGGTGCAGTTAGCTGAGCTTGACGCCTTTCGTATGGCTGATGTCGTTAAGGTTAATCCTGATTCGCCGCAGAAGCAAATCAGGTTTCTTACATTCTCTGGTTAGTCTTAACCTCATGTTCAATCATTTTGTATTGTCAGAAAGTTTCTGTATCTAAGTGTTTCATTCATTGATTTGTGAAAGTTGACTCCTTTTAGACACTGTTCTGTATCTAAGTGTTTCATTGTTGGGGATTTATGAAAGTTAACTCCTTTTAGACATTTGTGTTCTGTATCTAAGTGTTTCTTTGTCGAAGATTTATGAAAGTTGACTCCTTTTAGACGCTGTGTGAACTTGTAGGTGAGAAGAAGTTGTTGACTCCACAACCTAGGCTAAGAACATGGTTCTTCTCTGTACTAGAATCTGATTTTCTGAAGCCAGAGACGATCATAGAAGCTTGCACCTCTGTAGGAGTAGCCAAGTATGGAAAAGCGATTGGTTTAGATGAGAAAATCAAAGTTGATCTCATTTTCCTTGGCTCCACATTGTTGTTAACCTGCAAACCGGTGCCCGGTTAGGGAAGGGAGAAGTAACTGTGACAACTCTCAAAATTATAGGAATGTTTAGTTTAATCAACTATATGATATGTGTTCAGGGTTTTGCGGAGCTTGAGTATGGAATGTTGTGTTACATGGGAGCTATTGATGATTCCACACCCGTTGTTACAACTGGTATATATAGAAACATCTATGTAAAACTTTCTCTTGCGTTTTTTTTTTACATTTTTTATGGCAATGCATGACTGTTAGCTTGCGGATGATATACCCTTAGAGAAACTGGCGATTCATGATGTTCCTGTGGATATCATATGCACTTCTACTCGAGTCATTTTCATAAGTACACCGTTTATGTTGTATTATAGACACGGTTAAGAAAATAGATAAAGTTTTAAATTTAAATGTTTAACAAATTTTATAATTTTTAATTTCTAAGATTCAATTCAAAAAAAAAAAATTCTAAGAGCTTCATAACAGATAACACCATTGGATAATATACATACATTTATGATAAGAATCTTTAACTATTAAAAAAAAAACAATATTTTAGTATTAAGGACTCATGTGGTAGATAACACCATTGGAGTTGCTTGGAGAGAAGAGTCTTGGTGTATACCAAAGCCAATAGAATGGCTCTTCTGTTTGTTTGTATTAAGATGGTTCTGCATGGTATGGCAACATGAAAACTGAAGATTGTCTTTGTTTGGTTAACTAACTAAATCCATAGGATAACACCCAAGTATACGGATCAAACTCGTAAATCCTGCAAAACCAAAAGGCAATGCAAGATTTTTATTGTTAGACTTGAGACCGGCTATAAAAGCTCTGGGGTTTCCCGAGGACTGAAACCTGTAGATGGCTAAGGGCGTGCTGAGCACGTGTTTCAGCCATGGAAGCTTCAAAATCAATGTAGAATAAGTAATCAAAGTACCTGTCGTTATCACAAAACAACACTCAACTACTTTATCAACAAAAGATGTCTTCATGCTGTGATTTAAAAGAAAAACTACTCTTAGCGGTCTTTGTGCATTATCAGCTTAGCAGTTTTGTTCAAAGAAAGAATTACCAAGTTCAAAAAAAAAAAAAAAGAATTACCAAGTTCCCATATTCTATCTCTGTTTTGTCTTAAGATAAGGATCCTTATGTTTCACTATTTTATGTTTCTATGTTCTTAGGGACATAGCAGATTTTCATCTTGTGCTGAAATTCTAGGTTTTAGGCCAGTTATGAAATCAAGTGTATCATTACCGATGAAATAAACATCAGTTTTTAGATAACATGTCTTGTATTACAATTTACAAGTATTGAAAAAATAATAAAGAAATCAGTTTATAAATAGTATATTGCTCTCTTGCCTCTTGGCCTTCAGTTTATAAATAGTAAAGCCCAGGCACTTTCCTTCACAACATAGCAAAAAAAACTAGGACCTATGGCTTGCCAGGCAAGGTAGGTACACTCTGCTCATCTCTGAAGAAGTTTTGCGGATCAACAGCAGTTTTCACTTTCACCAACCTATCAAAATTCTCTCCAAAGTACTTCCTCCCATAAACCTCAGCTTCTCTGTAACTATTCACCCCATGAGTATTAACACCAATATCCAAATCCCTGTAGTTAAGATACGTGTGTCTAGGGTTCTTGGTCACAAAAGGAGCCATGTAGCTATAAAAGCTTCTCGTCTGCTGCAAGAAACTGCTTTCAGCTGCTGTCCCCGGATCTTTCCAGTTAATCGAGTGCTGCACCTTGTAAAGCTTCTTCCTATGTGGGAACGGAGTCGCTGTTGTAGCCACCTCACTCATCTTCCCTCCATAAGGGTTAAACACTAAACCAGTCTTCCCAACCTCAATCAACTTCTTGAACAAGTAATCTAAACCCTCTTTAGTTATCTCCTTCTCCACGTAATCTGACTTCCTCTTCCCGTAAGTCGCAGAGTCCGGGTTACGATCCAGTAATACCTCGGGTTTAACCAGTGTAGCATTGTCGTTATTCGCCCACCATAACACAGACTGTATCCACGTCATCTCCGTACAATTCTCTTGTTTCAAACCAAGCTCTGGGAAGTCTCTCGTCAATAAAGACAAGACATCGCTTGACTTACCAAGAAACAAGGCCACGACGGAAGCTCTAACCGTCTGGGCCTTGTTTCTAGTCACTGGCTGTATCAACATCCTCATGAAGAGGCTTGGATCGGTTTTCGGAGCAACGAACTGCCATTTATAAACCATGTCGACTGCGTTCTCGTCTAAGTTCTTCTCAACTCTGAAAACAGTTACCGTTGGTGGAACAGGGACGAGTGTGATCTTGTAAGCCAAGATCACACCGAAGCTCGCGCCTCCTCCTCCTCTAATAGCCCAAAAGAGATCTTCTCCCATTGATTGACGGTCAAGAACACGTCCGTTAACGTCAACGATCTTTGCGTCGGTGACGTAGTCAACGGAGAGACCGTATTTTCTTATCATGTTGCCGTAACCGCCGCCGCTGATGTGACCACCGGCTCCTACCGTGGGACAGACTCCTGCGGGGAACCCGTGGAGTTTTGTCTTTTCCCATATCCTGTAGTAGACTTCTCCGAGCGTGGCGCCCGCTCCTATCCATGCGGTTTCTCCTTGGACGGTGATGTTACGGAGGTTAGACATGTCGAGGACGACGAAAGTAGGGGCGTTGGAGGTGTAGGAGACGCCCTCGTAGTCGTGTCCACCGCTTCGTGTTTTCAGCTGGATGTTTAGAGACTTTGTGCAGAGGACTGCGGCTTGGACGTGGGACTCGGAACGCGCCGCGATCACGATGGAGGGTTTAGGGGTGATGGTGGTGTTGAAACGGGCGTTTCGGATGTAGGCGCGTAGGGTTGGGGTGAAAGCGGGTGCGGTTTGGGGTAGTACGACGTCGGATAGGGAGTTAGGTGGGGATTTTGTTTGGTTTGAGAAGCATTGGAGGAAGTTTTGGTAGAGTGTTGGGTTTGGAGGAGAGACAGCGGCGAGAGATGTTGAGATTATGAAGAAGAAGAAGAAGAAAGAAAAGAAACAAACGAGCTTCATTTCTTTTTCTTCACTCTGATTTTCTTTATTTGATTGATTTTGTTTTTGGGTGTGTTCTTCTGTGGTATATATATAGTACATAGATTATTGAAAGTATTAGATGTAGTTCTTACCTTTGGCTAATATTAGGTTTCGTTAGTCAAGGTTTTTCTTGTTGGTATTAGTCAATTTTGTTTATCTTCTATTACGTGACAACTCTAATTTGAAGAAATTATTTATTGTTGAAGAATGTGATGGTTGTAACAGCCGGAAAAAGAAAACAAATATGATGGTTTTGTAAACTTGGTGTTTTTAAATAGTATTTGTTGGATTTTGATTGACAAGAATGAAAAGCAAGATCAGTGTGGCTGATAATGATGCTCTTATAACTTTGAACACAGAGAACTCAAACAAAACAGTGAAATGTTTACAAAGAAGCATTGGTTCGTAACTTGTTCACCTTTCATTATGTTAACGTGATACAAGACAATGCACCATCACTATTCAATATCTCTCATTTTTGTGTATCTTATTATGCCATTTTTCTCTAAACCGCGTCCACATTCTTATTGATTAGTACAGAAACGAATTTATCAAAACTTACAAAGATCAAATTCTGTATCTTAAAAACTCATATCTTAATTTATATTTGAAATTCAACAAAATAAATTATAACAAGAACTCATTTACACAAGTATATCATTGATCTATTTACAAGTAGGGATACAATTTGCTTTTACAGGTACATCAAAGCAATGATGTTGAACTGTACATAAGTATATATGTTTAAAATATTTGATAGCACGAGAGATTTTGTTTAGGATCTCTAGTTCCAATCAAACTTCTTCGTAAGTTTGGGTTCCGCTAAGTTGCTATGATAGATGCCATCATCTTTAGCAAGATAGTTATAGGAGCCACCGTGACGCTTACCAATTTCCTGTTTATAAGCGTCAAACGTCTTAGAGATTTTATAATCAGGTCCTTTTTTCATGGTACACTGCATAAGGTTATCAAGAAAGCTGAATTGGTAATCGATTCCTCCCGGTTTCAGATATTGGGGTTTATTATTCCCAGATTTACAATGTACCATGAGCGATTTGTTGTGTGTAAGGCCGTTCCTGAAATAGAGTGTTGTCTTTGTTCCTTGCAAGAAACGGCTACCATATACATTGCCGATCATGCAGAGGGAAAAAATAACAAGAAAGATTGAGATATTTTTCATTTTCTTTTTCTTTTTTCTTGATGTTATTTTATTTTTTTGTATTGTTAGAACTTGTGTGTCTGTGACACAAAGAAAATAAGAACTTATGTGTTTCTGTTTAAGGTGTTATGTAGACTTAGGTGTTGCTATTTTTGAATTTTTGTATCTTCTTCTTGCCCTATTATTGTAAGTATTCTAGTAATAGTTGAGGTACCAAATTGTTTCCGAAAAATAGATTAATGGTGGAATAAAATATATGTGGTTTAGACTTTTTGATAATTATGTGTTTTTTTCTAGATGTTTACAAGAAATTTGTTCTTGCCTCAGCTAATGTTAATGAGTCCAAAGAGAGAGCTGGTGAGTTTTTTCTTCTTTTTTAACAAGGGTTAGTACAACTCTAAATTTCTCTCTCATGCGATTTCTCTCTCATACACATAACTCGAGAAAAACTTTAACCGTTGAACTTTGTTGACTTTAGCTTTTACCCCACGGTTACTTACCCTTTTGCAGTCTTTTATCCTCTGTAATTCCCTGAACCATTCAAAAAGTTTACTCTCTTTAGTAATACCATTGGTCCATAGACTGCTTCTCCGACGACAGAAGATTCTGATCGGCACTCCGCCGGGTTCAGCCCCCGACGTCGGCGGCGGGTCAGCCAGGGGCTCCGTTCCTGAGCCTATTTTCGGTTCTCTCCTAAGGTCTACTGCAATGGCGAGAAGCTTCTCTGGAATGGTTCTAGATCTAGAGACCAAGCTCGATTTCGCTTAAGATAAGCTCCCTCTTTGGTTGTTATAACCTCCATGCACTATTTTCTAACCCTTGCCTACGAGCATTTATCCCGAAGCATTTATCACAACTACTTCAACTACCAGAGACTTTAAGAGGGTTGGCTACTTCACTTGGGTTAAGAGCAACCTCGTACTGAACCGTTTTGGTTCTCTTGCATTAAAAGCAACTCCTTATCATCAGTATGAGAGAAGATTGAGCAGATCTGAGAAAGGAAAATGGCAGGCTCCCCCTGAACTTCCTGTCAAGCGACCTTCGGTGCGTATACCGGCAAATAACAACGATGATCTCATCGAAGCTAACAGACTTACCATCATTGGAAGGCTGACAAACCCTTTGGTACAAAAGCCCCTTCGGGCTGTAATTGAGTTTATGACACAGGTCTGGAACATGGAAGGAAGAATTGAGGGACGAGCCATGGGGCTTGACAAGTTTCAATTCAAGTTTCAATCAGAATATGAACTCCTCCAAGTTTTAGAGAAAGGTCCATATCACTACAAGCGATGGATGCTTATACTACAGCGATGGGAACCTATTGTGTCGGATCATTTCCCATCCAAGATTTCATTTAATGTCAGGATCCATGGTATCCCACTTCACTTCTGGTCTGAGAAGACGATACTCACCATAGGAAGTGAGCTTGGAAAATGTTCTCTTAAGGATGAAAAGGAGGCAAAGATTTGGGTTGAAGTCGATGGTCTTAATCCACTTATTATGAAAATGGAAATCGAATTACCAACAGCGGATATCACAGAGGTTGAGTTTGAATATATAAGGATTGAAAAACATTGTTTCTCCTGCTTCTACCTCCTACATGAAGAAGAGATGTGTCCACACAAACCTGCTAATTGCCTCCCCCCTAAGGAAAGGATTCTTGGAATTACGCAGAGTATTGCGTTGCAGAGGATTGAGGCGGAAAAGAGACGCCACGACGAGCGTAGAGGGTATAGAAGATCAGATGATGCTCGATCCTACTCTAGACATCACAATGAGCACCTTTCCCAATCTACAAGGAAGAGAGCATATGAGAGATCTTACCAAACTCGATACAATGATCAGGGTAGAGAGCAGTCCTTTCTGTCAAGAACGGCTAGGTCAAATTCTGGTAACGTCAGCAACAAGGCTCCGTCCTTCCAGTACCGAGTTGTTGAAAGAGCTAGACCCACCACTGATTCATCTCTCCCCCAATCTAATCAAGCTCGTAGTAAGGAGGATTTAGCGGTACCACCTGCAACAGCGAATGTCCTCCTTACAATATCAGGAACCAACATCACCCCTACTCGCACCTTAAGAGATCGCCTTGGAAGTCCGAACATTAACAGAGGAGACTCTAACTCGGGGACCAAGGAACGCAGATCGGCGCTGGCGCGTCTCTCTGACCCAGTGTCATCAAAGGAACGCTCACCGAGAGTGCCACCAAGTTTTGAATCAGGACGACTACAAGAGGCAGAAGACAGACGAGAGGAAATTATGTCAGGGGATCCAGAACCTATAGATGAACAAAGCCCAGAGGTGGAGAGGATCCCTGCAACCCTCCGTATAGGGTCAGGCACGTCCCGATCACGGAACAAGAGGGGTGAAATCCCAATAACAGCTCAAAGTAAAACGACAACCAAGAGAAGGGTGGTAAACCCAATAAGAAAGCGTATTGCTAGAAGTCCTCTACTAGGTATCACTCAATCTACAAGGGGGATACGCGCTAGTTCATCAGCTAGGAGAAAACTGAACACTGAGATCAATAAAGATGTACCTTGTAATAAGGCGGGGACGAGCAAACAACGAAGGAAAGGGGATCGACCAGTTACAGTGTTTATACCGGGAAGTACCAGAGGTGGGGTGGATTTTCGGCCCCATCAAAATCCTCTTCCTTAGTGTTTTTGAGCTGGAATTGTCAAGGACTTGGGAGCGTCCAGACAATCCAGCGAATCAAGGAGATCCATAAGCATATGGCTCCTAATGTAATGTTCCTTATGGAAACAAAAAACGAGGACGAGTTTATTAATAAAAAGTTACAATCGCTGCACTACTCTAAATACTTCTCTGTTCCACCAGTTGGATTGAGTGGCGGTTTGTCTCTTCTATGGAATGATGAAACGGACATTACAATTCTCGAAGCTTCTCCCAATCTCATTGATGCGAGAATTGTGTACCAAGATAAAACGTCCTTCGTCTCTTTTGTGTATGGTTCCCCTGCAGCGGAAAACAGGGCTTGTTTCTGGGATAAAATTAGTAACGTGGGACAAGGGAGAGAAGATGCTCCTTGGTTGATCACTGGGGACTTTAACGACATACTGAGCAATACTGAAAAGGCTGGAGGTCCGGTCTGTGCAGAAGGATCCTTTACAAAGTTTCGATCGTTTGTAGCTCAAAACGGTTTATGGGATCTTAAACATTCAGGGGAACAGTTATCGTGGCGTGGGAATAGATACACGCACTTCATACGATCGAGGTTAGACCGCTCTATGAGCAATTGTTCTTGGTCAGAAGCTTTCCCCATGAGAAGATGCCGATATCTACGCTTTGAGGGATCTGATCACCGGCCTTTATTGACCTATTTCAACTCAGATAAACCTAAGAGAAGAGGTATGTTCCGTTTCAACCGAACTCTAACAGAACAAGAGGAGGTTAGGGAGGTGGTTAGTACGGCGTGGAATTCATCACCACTGGACTCTTTGATTTTAAAGTTGAATAGGTGCAGGCGAGGCATAATTCAATGGGAAAAAGAGAAACAAAAACAGAGTAACTTGGTGATCAAACAGAATCAGTAGGAATTAGATGAGGCTCTGTCGAGTCCAAACCCAGACGTTCAAGTTATTGAGAAGCTAAATTCTGATTTACGCATGGCGTATTTGGATGAAGAGCAGTTTTGGCAGCAGCGGAGTCGTATCCAATGGCTGAAAAAGGGAGACCGGAACACGGGTTTTTTTCATGCCACTACCAGAACCAGAAGAACAATAAATTCTATTTCAGTTATTGAAGATGTGCAAGGCGGAGCAATGTATGAAGAGCAGCAGATTGTCCAAGTGATCTCTGATTATTTCAGGAACATTTTCACATCGAATGGGAACAATTCTTTCTCTCAAATTCATGGATTGTTGGAGAAGAAAGTTACCACTGAGATGAATGAAAGGCTGATACTGATACCGAGTGATTCGGAAATTTATGAGGCGATGATGTCTATCAATGGGGGAAAGGCCCCGGGTCCCGACGGTTTCTCAGCCACCTTCTACCAAGCTTATTGGCATATAGTGGGAGCAGATGTTATCTCGGACGTCAAGAGCTTCTTCACCTCCAATCACCTCCACCCGCAGCAAAACGAAACACATATCAGGTTGATTCCAAAGATCTCGGGACCAAGATCCGTGGCTGACTATAGACCCATTGCTTTGTGTAATACTCACTACAAGATCATCGCCAAAATTCTCACTCGACGGTTGAAGCCTTTACTGCCCCTCCTTGTCTCCCAGAACCAATCAGCATTCGTCATCGGAAGAGCAATAACGGACAATGTACTTATCACACACGAAACCCTGCATTATTTGAAGACTTCAGAGGCAAAGAAGCGATGTTCTATGGTCGTGAAAACGGACATGAGCAAAGCTTATGATAGAATAGAATGGGGGTTTGTGAGAGAAGTTCTTCAGCAATTGGGTTTTGATCCGATATGGATATCTTGGATCATGAACTGTATCGAATCGGTGTCATATTCTTTCTTAATCAATGGAGTACTGCAAGGATCAGTGAAACCAGCTCGGGGGTTAAGGCAAGGCGATCCGCTTTCTCCCCATATCTTTATACTTTGCACAGAGGTATTATCAGCTTTATGTTATAAAGGCCAGCGAGATGGATCACTCCCGGGAGTTAGTGTTTCACGCAATAGTCCAGCGATTAATCATCTACTTTTCGCCGACGATACTATGTTCTTTTGCAAAACCAGAGTATCATGTGTGGCTGCATTACAGAAGATTCTCGTGATATACGAAGAGGTTTCGGGGCAAAGGATCAATCCACAAAAATCAGCCATTACTTTTTCCGCTAAAACACCAGCTAGTGTCCAAGTTCGGGTGAAGGACTCTTTGTCTATCACATTGGAAGGTGGGATAGGTAAATATCTGGGGCTACCCGAACAGTTTGGAAGGCGGAAAAGAGATATATTTGCATCGATTCTGGACAGAATAAGGCAAAAGGCACACAGCTGGACTTCGAGATATCTCTCGGGAGCGGGGAAACAGATTATGCTAAAGTCGGTTCTAGCTGCGATGCCTTGTTATGCGATGTCGTGTTTCAAGCTTCCGGTGTCTCTTTGTAGACAAATACAATCTCTACTCACTCGATTTTGGTGGGATGCAATTCCGGACAAGAGGAAAATGTGTTGGGTTTCCTGGGAAACATTGACGCTGCCAAAATATGCAGGGGGTTTAGGATTCCGCGATATCAAAACCTTTAATGACGCCTTGCTTGCTAAAATTGGCTGGAGACTCCTTATGGATCCAAAGTCGCTGCTGGCGCAAGTACTACTTGGAAAGTACGCAAGGAATGCAAATTTTCTTGAATGCTTTGTGCCACAAACCGCCTCACACGGCTGGAGGAGCATAATAGCAGGACGAGACATACTGCTGAGAGGACTGAGTTGGGTTGTTGGAGATGGTGAGACGATTCGACTGTGGGACGATCCTTGGTTATCTTTCAGCGATCCTTTAAAACCAACAGGACCACCAACATTGGAGAATCAGAATTGTAAAGTCAGTGACTTATTGTGCTCACTTACTAATACATGGGAGGTGGAGAAGATTCGGAGCATTATACCTCAGTATGAGGAGGCTATTATGAAGATAAAAACCAGTACAACACCATCAGCTGATACTCTTGTATGGCTCCCTGAGAAAAATGGCTCTTACTCGGTCAAGTCTGGGTATGGAATTGGTATTACAGCGTCGAGATCCTGGAGCACTGATGAAGAACCGGTCAATTGGTTCAAACACATTTGGAATCTTCAGACAGCGCCGGAAATAAAGGATTTCCTTTGGAGAGTGGTAAAGAAGGCCATTTCAGTGAGCGCCAATCTAGAGAAGAGGGGTATCGCTAGTTTTAACTGTAAAAACTGTAATGGGATAGAGGATGATCTTCATGTTTTTCTTCTTTGTCCATTGGCGACGGAAGTCTGGGATCTGGTACCAACTTCGCAAAGGCCTTCTTCTTATTTGCCGTCAGTTGCTGAACTGATCAAAGAGGGCACTAAGTTTACACCGCTACCTCCGACGGGAGCTTCGTCCCCACTGTGGCCCTGGGTGCTCTGGAATTTGTGGAAGTCAAGGAATCAACTCTTGTATGAAAACAGAGCATTCACAGCAAAAGAAATCGTATTGAAAAGCATTAAGGACTCTAAGGAGTAGACTACGGCTCAGGAGACTTCTGAGGTGATAATACCTCGAGATATAACTCACTACACTAGTTTACGATCACCATGCCCTCCCCCACCGACCCAACCAGGTGTTATGGTGGCAAAAGTAGATGCGGCCTGGAATTCTGTTTCAGGAAGATGTGGTATTGGTGTGATTTTTTCTGGTGATTATCCATTAACTCTTCCAGTAATTTCGGAAGCACAACAGCATGTTTCGTCGGCTCTTATGGCAGAAGCCATCGCCGTTCATCGGGCGGTCTCCACCGCTGTTCGTTCAAACGTCCGATCCCTGGCAGTTCTATCGGATTCCCTTTCCCTAATTAAGTTATTGAGGACGGGGGGATATCAGCCTGAACTGTTCGGTATCATGTTTGATATCTATCGTTTTATCCTTATCTTTACTGTTATTTCCTTTAATTTCATTTCTCGCAACTTTAATTCCGAGGCAGATTTGGTGGCAAAATCTGGTCTCACAATGGATGTAATGAACTCCAACTTAGGAGTCTAAACTCAGAGATGAATGAAATGTTTGTTTGCCCAAAAAAAAAAGAGAGCTGGTGAGTTTCAAGGAGAAATAGAACCGTTCAGTGTCCCTTATGACAAAAATAACATTATTTTTTTTTGTCACAAATATAACACATAAGAATAAAAATGATCAAAATAACACTTAATGTTTTATCAAAAGGGATAATATATACACATATATCTCAATGATAAATTAATTTAGACATTAGGGTTTAAGGTTAAGGGGTGGGATTTAGAGTTTAGAGTTTAGGGTTTAGAATTTAGGTTTTAGGGTTTAAAATTGGGAATTGGAGTTTTGGGCATAAGATTTCAATTTTTGAAAAATAAATTTTTTAAAAAATTTTCAAAAGATAAAATGCTGTTTTGGTCGTTTTAATTTTGAAGTCTATTTTTATGACAAAAAATTAGAAATGTGTTATTTAAATGTGCTATTTTGAAAATTTGCCTTAACTCTTAAGTTTGTTATAATGAAGGTTTTTTCTTAGTGAAGAGTGGCCTCATCACTCTGACCAAGCAAGAAGCAACACTTTGATTGTTGATTTGTAAGTTTCTATTAAGAGATCTCTTCTATTAATCTGGTTTTATGTTTTGTATTAAGTCATGATTATCTGGATTTAAATAAAGACAACAAAAATGTGATTCACGGTTTAATAAATAAAATAAAAAGATTCACAAGAAAACCGTGACGAAGAGAAGATAAAAGAGTTAGAACCCCACACGGTCGTCTCAGATACAGAGTCAATTTCCCGACACACGTAATCTGCTTAGGTTTAAGCGAATTATCACCAAAATTAGGATTCTGGGTCTGATCAAGAGGCTAATAGACTCTCGAAAGTGTCTCTCTTTTCTCTTCTCACCTCCCAAAAACTCTTCCTTTTTTCTCCCCTGATTACGATTAAAACAGAGTTCGAGGTTTTAAGGATAAGCTCGACCTATCTTATTTATCTGGTTCTGTTGTGCGTTTCTCTGTAATTTTGTTTTGTTTTTATTCCTCAGATATATGGATTTCACTGATCCGATGCTTGTCCTGAGTTCCTGGATTGGTCAAGTGAGTTTCTTTAGCTCTCCATATTGTTTCCAAGAACAGTTTGGTGATTCATTGAGTTTGATTCACTTTGATCTCTGTCATTGATTTATGTTTATCATGAATTGTGAAGTCATTTGTTCAAATGTGTAATGTGGAATTATTTTTTGTATTCCACAGATTGTTGATTTTGGACTTTATTTGCTATGGCGTTTCATACACATTGTTGTGACCTTATGGTACATTGTCTCTGGCATCTTTGAGGCGATTGAAAGCTATGCGATCTCGTTAGGATTGGTTCAAAAATACAGTTCCATTGATATTGAGAAGCTCAAGTGTCTAGCGGTTGTAGTGGACATCGAAGCAGCTCAAGATGTTTCCAAGGTTATTGAGCTTTTGCAATGGCTAACCACCATTGGGGTGAAACAAGTTGGTCTTTTTGACTCGCAAGGTAAGAACAATCTATAAATGTCCATTCGTCAATATATATATATGTGTATGAAGAGATCTCTGAGAGTTGGCTTCTTTTAGGTTTATTGAAGAAATCCAAGGATATGATCCTTGAAATGGTGCCACGTTCAGTGTTGTTACAGGTATGATATATAAATCATACCTTCTTTAGTGTGGTCATGAATCAAATCTTTAGCTTCTCCCTAGCTCATGATATAAAGAAACCTTTATAGATTAGTAAAATTTATCTGCAAACGGAGCTATGTTGATTGTTACTTCACCTGCTTACAGGAGACTGGTGAAGAGGGTAGTTCGCCTGACGGCATTGCTTTAGAATTCATATCGTCTTCTGATAATAAAGAAGCTGTTGTGAAGGCAGCCAACATACTACTTCACAAGTACTTGAAATCCAGCCATCCTGGGAATGATGAAGGGGAAAACGTTTTTACAGAGTCTCATCTGAACGAAGCATTAAGAGTTGTTGGTTAGTGTTGATTCTCTCATATTGAACTCAAAATAACTATTGAAGTTTCTTGACGAGAAACTGATGGTCTGAACTATGGCAGGTGAGAATGTACACGTCCCTGATCTGTTACTGGTTTATGGACCCGTAAGGAGCCACCTCGGTTTCCCTGCTTGGAGACTTCGATATACTGAGATCGTGTATGTGCTTTTTTTCCTAATCGTTAACTCTTATATCTTCAGTTCTAAATCTTATTAAGTTGGTCTTTTCTGTGTATTTGTTTGTTGATAGACATATGGGATCTTTGAGGTGTATGAGATATGGTTCCCTTTTGAAGGCAATCCACAGATTCACAGGAGTGCGCCAAAACTATGGCAAGTCTTTCTTCCTCCATTGCTATACAGACTGAAGTTTCAAATTTTGACCTGGATTGAGTCAGCCCCAATAGTTACTTTCTCTTGTTTAATGGGTGAAAATTGATATGTTTTGGATTGTTTTTGACAGGGGCTTGATGGTGATTACAGAGAGCAGAGCCTCCAAAAGAAAATTTTGAATGTGATTCACAGATTTGTCGTTCAAAGGTGACATTGTTGGAGAGCTGTTAATTCAGTGCAGCCACCATTGTTCAGTTTGTTCACATCTTGTTCTGACAATTCCATGTTATACAGATTCACAACTCAAAGGGACATATGGCTTGGCATTGTATATGATTTAAGTACTTAAACCAAAATACTAACGAGCTGGACCAATGCACCCGGTAGGCGGTAGTGGTCGTAATTTCTCGTATAGTTTTCTGTTTACCAGAAAAACCAAGAAAATCAATCTGGTTTATGTACAAATGTCAGTTACAGCTGTTCATATTAAAATGAGAAGAAGTGCTCCTTGAGTCGTTGATACGCCAAACGCAACGGTTCTGACTTTAAGCTTTGTCTAAAACATCATTTACGTACCAACTCTCAGACGAGGGCGAGACTTGAAAGGTTAATCTTTTGACCCGAAGGTCCCGAACCAATAACTGAACCCAAAGCAGGAGTCAACACAGCAACAAATAGAGTCTGAGAGACTCTGCTTCATTATGAGAACTACTCAAAAATTAATACATTTTCATCAAACATCTTTAATAAATCCAATCAAACTGTACATATATACAAAGCTATTAAACAAACAAAAAAATATTACTCACGGCTAAAAGTTAGTATAATCTATTTATTAAGTTATAACAAAAAAAACTAAAACGTTTTTTTCTATTCTAACTGTTATATATTCTTTGACAAAAAAAAAACTGATAGTATGTAATATGCCATCATAAATCATCCCATGATATTTGACCAAACATTTAATTTGGTCTGGTAAAATACACAAATCATTATTTTAATTATATCTACTTTTGAATTGACTGATTAATTTCGAAAACTTTTCCTTTCTCATATAAATCCCAATATTTTAAATAATATATCCTATAATAGGACGTGCACATCGTTTTTTTTTAAATTGTTCTACAATACAAATCTTTTTTTTTTTTTTAACAACCAATACAAATCTTATTTATAGTCAAAAAAGTCTTAAGATTTTATAAAAAAATTTTTTTTGCTTAAAATTTTTATTTTTATAAAAATGTTGCCATAACAAACATAAAAACAGTTACTCCTTCGCTCAAAAAGTTATGGAAACAAATGTATTTCCGTTGACTGTTGTCTAGATAACTACGTAACATATTTGTTTCTCTTCAAGAAGTTATACACTGAATAAAATATGGCCAAGTCGTCTCCGGAGAAGAAACCGGCCACTACATTAGACGACTACGCTCACAGTCCATTCCATTACGCCGTCGTTTTAGGAGACCACGCTGGTTTAACTCGCCTCGTCTCCTCCTTACCTAAACTCACCGAGCCAGAACAAATACACACCGAGTCAGACTCCTTGAGCCAGGAGCGCCTCGCCTCGCAAATCTCCGCCGTGATCGACCGCCGCGACGTTCCTTCACGCGAGACGCCTCTCCACTTAGCGGTTCGCATAGGCGACGTCTTCGCCGTGGAGACGATCTCCTCCGCAGGCGCAGACATCACGCTCCAGAACGCCGCGGGGTGGAGCCCCTTGCACGAGGCGCTCTGTCGCCGGAACACCGAGATCACGGCGACGGTGCTCCGGCATCAGCGGCGCTCGGCGTGGTGCAAATGGAGACGGAGGCTGCCGTGTCTGATCGGCATCCTCCGTCGTATGAGAGACTTCTACTTGGAGATTTCTTTCCACTTTGAGAGCTCCGTGATCCCGTTTGTCGGAAGGATGGCTCCTTCCGACACGTACAGGATCTGGAAGCGCGGAGGGGATCTCCGCGCGGATACTTCTTTAGCAGGGTTCGACAGTTTCAAAATCCACCGCGAGAACCGGAGTTTTCTGTTTCTTGGTGATGGAGATGAGTTTCTTGATGTGTCTCCCGGTACGTTGCTTGTGTTGAACAGAGAGGATAAGACGATACTGAACGCGTTTGAAAACGCTAATGATCCGATTAGCGACGGTGAGGTCGCGGGTTTTTGCTCTCAGACGAGCTTGTACCGTCCAGGGATGGATGTTACGAGAGCTGAGTTAGTTGAGATGACGAATTGGCGAAGGCAGGTGAAGACTGAAACGGTTGGAGAGTGGAGAGCCAAAGGTTACGAGGTTGAGAACGTGAGTTTTAGTTTCAAATCGCGGAAAGTTGTTGCTGTCGGAGAAACAGAGAAGACCTCGCGTTCGGACAATATCTCAGAACCGTTATGGAGGCAGAGGACGCAGCACGGTTGTTCCAACGTTGAGGAGAAAGAGTTTCAGCCGTCGTCGTCGTGGAGGAGGAGGAGCAAGTCGGTTTCTTTACCGGTAGAGGGAGTTACGGTGGCGGCTTCTGTGCCGCGGATTAAAGAGAAGGAGCTTGTGAAGAGTTTGAGTCCTTCGGTTTGGTTAACGGAGGATTTTCCTTTGAAGACGGAGGAGCTGCTTCCGTTGCTTGATATTTTAGCCAATCATGTTAAAGCTGTGAAGAGAATGAGGGAGCTGCTCACCGCTAAGTTCCCGCCGGGAACTTTCCCGGTAAAGGTAACAGTGGACGTTCTTGAAAATTACTCTTTAATTGCGTTTCAGTATTTTTGTGTCTTTTGATTGGAAGCGTTTGCATGAACATTGTAAGTTTATCACACGTGTTATAACTGTATTGGATGTATGCTGATGTGGAAAAATCAAAAGGTACGAGAAAAAAAAAGTGTAAAATAATCTTTGGTGACACTATCCAGTTTTGGTTTGGTCTGAACATCAAAATTTTTATTTGGTTAAATGGTCAACCATAACTAGACACAACTGATTATATTTTGGTTTTTGGTGGGACTCAGTTGTCGATACCGGTGATACCAACGGTGAAGGTAGTCATGACATTTAGCAAGTTCGTGCCTCTACGACCGATGGATCAGTTCTACACACCGCTATCAAGCCCGGGACACCTCTCAGCTGCAGTCGAAGACCAATGGAACGTGGAGAGTGAGGAAACATCCGACATAAGAACGTCTACTAATTCACGCTCGTCGTTTTCAAGGTCGTCATGGCGGAGACTGAGCATCACCGGCACGGGAAAAACTGCACAGCAACGGCTGGAGGAGGAGCAGGCACAGATGGTGGATCCATTTGCAATACCAACAGGGTATAAGTGGATGAGCAACTCAGATAAACCAGGTAATGATTAATGAATCACACTAGTTACATTTTTGATTATTGGCAATATATAAAGGGTAACATACTAACATTGGTTAAAAACTAAGTCAGTATATTGAAAGTGAAAGAAAAACAAAAAAAATTACTAAGATTTGTATCTTAGACTTCACTATACTTTTTTTAACTATGAAAACTCTAAACTTCCCAGTTTTTCTTCTCTGGTTTCAATTCTTTTGATCAAAAGGAACATAAATATAAATGCATTAACATTCCATTCTTTACAATGGTATCATTTTTTTGTAGGTAAAAAATTCACTCTAACGTGTGGATGCGCTAAAGTAGTTCTCCGGAAGAAATAAACATTTTGGGCCGAAAGTTTTAATGGGCCAATATTAGTAGACCTATGCGTATTGATCTTTCTTATTGTAAACCCATCAAACTCCAAGAAAGATGTTTCCTAGATATCGAATAAATGAGACGCAGTGATGTTTTGATTTATAGGCTTTTGAATCTTTGATAACCTAACTCTTGATGATGAGTAGTAGTCTTTAATACAATCGTAGAGTAAAATAAATGGAGAAAAAGACTAGATGGAGTTGGGTTGTTTTTTATAACTATTTACCTGTTTCCTTATACTTTTGAAAAAAGTAGAAAGATTCCAAACAACGTTTGCTTTGCAAGTTGGAAACGAACTAACATGAGTTGGCAAGTCCATTCCAAGACAACCCAAACAATCATATTTCAATATTTTTGATATATAAAAAAAACATAAAGACATTAGGTTAAAAGATGACATCTAAAGAAATAGTTAACTAATATGTACACTCAAAAAGAAAATAAATTGACAACCCATCCACTATTAGTGTCTCCATTCTCCACATTTCCACTCATCTTGCTCATTCAGCATCGTTTCTTTCCTCTGTACCAAAGAAGAATTCCAAGAACTAGAGGTACTCTTCATTTATTTTTCTTAATTTTATGCATCGTTATATGAATTCATATATAGACGAATTGGTCTGAATAAGGTTTTTCTTTTTAATAGGCACATAAGATATTGTGATCGTAATAGAATGGCGAGTGAAGCACCTAGTTGGGCGGATCAGTGGGGGACCGGTGGAATTGGTGTGATGGCAGCTACGGAGGAGACCACTGACGGAAAGAAAGACGCCGCCAGGAAGAAGTCCGGCAAGACTAAAGCAGGGTTTAACAAAGCTAAGATGGTTGCATTTATTGGTGTAAATTGGATGAAAAACCTTGTGCATAGGAAGAAGAAGGACGCTATTTCTTCATAAATAAATAAATAAAATGTGCTTTCTGCTTCTTTTTCTCCTTTGGAGTGTCTCAATTTACTATTATTTCATTCTTTTTTAAAAATGTGTGTTGAGATGGTGCGTCCCACCACGAATGAATCGAGATTTATTCGTATATTGACATGTCTCAGTCTCTTTTTACACATTACGAACGTATTTAACTGCGCTTGCATATGCGTTTCCAGGCCTATGATTGTGTCCACAGCATTTGCACTGTATCCAGTTGTTGTTTTTTTGTCACTTTTCATTACCTTAAAAGGCCCACATTTTTATGAATAAGTAGAAAGTTGCCCAATGTTTCAAATTTTAACAGATCGTCAATATGCTTTGTAAAAATGAACTCAGCACAGGGCCTAAAATATACTCTATTCAGGCCTTTGCTTTATCGACCTAATTAAAAAATCTCACTAATGATGATGATGCTATGGTTTACTGTTGTGGTATTAGCTTGAGTATCAAGTTATTAGTTCATTCTTAACGAGTATTCTTGTTGACTGTGAGTGTTGTTTGTGATTGTTTGCAGGAAACTAAAACAGAGACGACACAGAGATTTAGAGTTCCCAAGGGGTATTAACGAACACCCTTGGTACGTCTCGTCAGTAACAAGATACAGAGTAAAACGCTCAAACTCAATCTCTCACCAAGCTCACGTCACTCACCAGAAGATCTAGTACAGAGAACCTAATAACCCCAAAGAGAATGATGAATGTCACTCACCCTTCTCACGTGTTTTCTCTCAAGCTCTCTCTAGATTCTCTTAGACGTTAAAGGTGCGTCTTACTCTTCTCACTTATCATGTACCCTTTTATCTTCCGTTATCACCTGAAAGATTCGCTGACCACTTGTCTATGCCAGCTCGCGAATCTCCAACGGAATTGCACATGGTCTGTTACTTCACTCTTCAAGTGCCTTTGACCAAAACGCAGAGTTTTCACCCTTAGACTTTAACCAAGAAGTAAACCTTCATCTGGGCCTTCACACATAAATGTCTCAGCCCAATACTTCACTTCTCTCAGCCCAAGTACTTTGGAAATCCAGAAACACATTACGACAAATCTCCACCTTGTTTCTAATTTCCGACAGCTAAGTTAAGTCTCTTAGCCTCTTTTGTCTCTTCCGATGATTGACCTCACCGAAAGTAACCCTAGAACTTCACCGATCTAGTTACAGTCGCCAATAACTCTTAGGCGACTTCTTCCTTCTTCAAACTTCTTTACCGGAACCGACTTTGTGAGAATATCAGCTGGATTCTCCAAAGTCCCAATCTTCGTAACAACAACTGATCCATCTGCCACAACATCTCGAATGAAGTGAAGTCTTACATCGATATGTTTAGTCCTCTCGTGGAAGACGCTGTTACGAGCCAAACACAGAGCACTCTGAGAATCAGAAAAAATCTCCACCTTCTTCTGCTCATATCCCAACTCTGTGGTAATACCCTTTAACCATAAAGCTTCCTTCGTTGCTTCTACTAACGCCATATACTCGGCTTCCGTTGTAGATAAAGCAACAATATGTTGAAGTCCTGAACGCCAGCTTACGGTGTTTCCTCCAACTTGGAAGATGTATCCTGTGATGGATCTTCTACGATCCAGGTCAGATGCGTAGTCACTATCACAATAACCTCTTACTTCAAAACTTTCACTCTTCTTGAACGTTAAGTTCAAATCTGTTGAACCTTTAATATACCGCATTAACCATTTAACAGCATTCCAATGCTCTGTATTAGGTGCACTCATGAAGCGACTTACCAACCCAACAGCATACGCAATATCAGGTCGACTACCAATCATTGCGTACATTAGACTTCCCACGGCATTTGAATAAGGTACACTTTCCATCAAACTTTGAACTTCAGACCGAACTTCTGGTTTTGTACTTGATAACTTGAAATGAGATCCCATAGGAGTAGAAACCGGTTTAGATTCTTCCATCATGAAGTTCTTTAGTACCTTCTTAAGATAACTTCCCTGAGATAACGTAAGAATCCCCTTCTCTCGATCTCTGTAGATATCCATACCCAAAATCCTGTTAGCAGGTCCTAAATCCTTCATTTCAAACTCACTGCTTAGAAGTTCTTTCACTCGTTTAACCTCCTTCATGTCTTTAGCAGCAACCAGCATATCATCAACATATAGTAATAAATATACTATATTACCTTCTCCATACGTCCTTAGATAGGCACATGAATCATGTAGACTTCTCTTAAATCCCTGAGACTTCATGAACTCATCAAATCTTAGATTCCACTGTCTCGGGGATTGTTTTAATCCGTATAGAGATCTTTTAAGTAAACAAACTTTGTCTCCCTTCTTATACCCCTCTGGTTGCTCCATCAATATCCTCTCATTCAAATTTCCGTGTAGAAAAGCCGTTTTAACATCTAGCTGCTCTAGCTCCATATCTTGATTAACCACCAAAGATAGCAGTAGTCTAATGGTAACATGCTTGACAACCGGTGAAAAAACCTCGTTGTAATCAACCCCCTCGATCTGAGAATATCCCTTAGCAACAACTCTGCCCTTAAACCTTGGACCTTCTACTCCAGGAATACCAGGTTTAATCTTGTATATCCATTTGCAGCCAATTGTTCTCTCTCCCTCAGGTCGATCGATTAGAACCCAAGTCTCATTTTTCTCCAAAGATTCCATCTCCTCATCAGAAGCTTTCTTCCATTTCTCTCGATTTTTGCTTCTGATTGCTTCACCATACGTTAAAGGTTCTTCCTCCTCGATTAACTCAGACATCACTAGAGCATAGGCTGCTACATCTGCATCATCAAACCTACTCGGAGGTTTTATGTTTCTTCTTTGCCTGTCTCTAGCCAAAACATACGTCTTTGGTGTTGTAGGAGATTTTTCATGTTCCGAATCACTAACAGAATCTTCTTTAGTAACATCAGTAGAAGATTCTCCACCTGAGACAGAAGACTCTATTACTTGTGTAGCTTCTGATTCTGTAGGTAGAACAAAAGAAACCCTTTTATGACTCTTGTCTTGATTAGTTACTTCTTGAGAAACTGATGAAATGTTCTTGAACATATCATTCTCGAAGAATGACACGTTTCTGCTCAAAACAATCTTCTTTTCTTCTAAATTCCAGATTCTGTATCCCTTTACTCCTTGTGGATACCCCAAAAATACTCCTTTCTTAGCTCTAGGTTTCAATTTTCCTTGATCAACATGAAAGTAGACCAAACAACCAAACCTTCTCATGTGCTCATATTCTGGAACCCTTCCTGACCAGACTTCTTCAGGTACCTTTAAGTTTAAAGGTATAGATGGAGTCCTGTTAATCATATATACCACCGTAGATGAAGCTTCAGCCCAAAAAGATTCACTCAAACCAGTCTCGCTTAGCAAACTCCGAACCTTTTCAAGAATTGTCCTATTAAGCCTCTCAGCAACCCCGTTTTGTTGAGGCGTATAGGGACAAGTCTTATGTCTCAGAATTCCCTTTGACTTGCAGAAATCGTCAAACATCTTGTTACAATATTCCAAGCCATTATCGGTTCGCAGAGCCTTAAGCTTCTTTCCACTCTGATTTTCAACTAGAGCCAACCATTCTATGAACCTTGAGTAAGCTTCATCTTTCGTCTTCAGAAAATATATCCAGACCTTTCTAGAGTAGTCATCCACAAATGATATGTAGTATTGACACTTAGATAAGCTCGGAGTTACATTAGGAGATCCCCATAAATCGGAATGAACATATGCCAGTGGTTCCTCCGAATTATGTTTACCTTTCTTGAATGATAGCTCGTGAAACTTTCCAAGAATACAATGCTCACAGTCTTGTTTTTCTTTTATGTCTTCAGCTTTCAGAGAACCTGACTTTACAAGACATTGTAACCCTTTGATGCTCATGTGACCTAAACGACTGTGCCACAGAGACGTTGTATCCAACTCAGCTTCTCCAGCATTTGCTTCTTCTTTCACAGGAACACCATCAAGAAAGTATAAGGTATCTTGATAATCAGCAGCCAATACTTCAGTTTTACCTCTGAACACTTTCAGCCTATAATCTTTAGACTGAAACCAACACCCTAGAGTCTCCAGTTGTCCCAAGGAAATTAGATTCCTTCTTGCAGTAGCAGAATACCTGACCCCAGTTAAGATAACACTAGACTGATTGTTGTTCAATTTCTTGATTTTTCCAATAGCCGTAATCTCACAGAAGGTGTCATTACCCATCAAGATTTTGCCTCCTTTAACTTCTTCAACATCGAACATCAAATCCTTTCTAAATGTCATGTGATATGAACATCCAGAGTCTAACACCCAACCATCTCTGTTGATTTGCCCTGAAGCTGTAAGCATGAGAGGCTCATCATCTTGTGCCTTTCCAATGCTTGCTTCAGCCTTTATAGAACTTCCCTGATTGTTTCTTTTAGGACAGTCCTTCTTAAAATGACCTTCAGCTCCACAAATCCAACATGCTCTTTTTATCTTCGGTCTAGATTTACTCCTGCTACCTGACTTTCCTCTTGGTGTGTTCTTCTTATCAGGACGACCTCTTGACTGGAAGTAAAGACCCTCGGTACTGGTCCCAGCAGACCCACCATTTGAACCTTTAGCCTTCATATCAAGCTCAATGGAGTAAGCCGCACTTGTAATCTCCTTGAGTGATATGGTATCTTGATCTCTACCATATTTTAGAGTGTGTACTAACGGTTCAAACCTTCTTGGTAGGCTATTCAGGAGTATCACAGCTTGATCCTCCTCGCTAAGTTCCACGTCAAGACTCGCTAGATCAGACACCAGTTTGGTGAATATGTCAAGATTCTTATCCAGGTTCTTATCATCATCCATTTTGTAACTGTAGAACCTCTGTTTTAGATAGAATCTATTAGGTAAAGACTTGATTTGATATGTGGATTCAAGAGCAGTCCACATCTCTATCGCAGTCTTAGACTTGATGACCTTTCTCAGTACCATATCACTGAGACTCAAACTTATTAAGTTCCTTACCCTCCTATCCTTCTCAAGCCTTTTAGTATCCATCTGAGGCTTTAAACCAGGATCATCATCCGCGATCCCTTTGCCTTTGATATCAACTTCCTCCGGTTGTAGAACAGAGTCTAAACCGAGTATCTCCAGCTGAGCCAAGATCTTGTGTTTCCACAACGCAAAATCTCCTTCCCCATCAAACTTCTCCACCTCAAACCTAGCTTTAGTAGGTTCCATTACTCTCAACCTCAAACTTGATCAGGGCTTGAAATCACAATGAAATAGAAAACCAATAAAGCAGATACCGCAGAGAATAACCGTAGAACCACAATCAGAATACCAGAAAACTAGAATAAACCAATAGATCTCAAAACGCAGCAAGAAAACCCAACACAGATAGCTAGATCTATTACTGATGACCCTAACCTGAGAATCGAACCATAGACTGTCCCGATTCACAAGTTAGAAACGATCACCTCAGATCTAACCTTCCCAAAGCCGTAACCTCGCTCTGATACCACTTGTTGTGGTATTAGCTTGAGTATCAAGTTATTAGTTCATTCTTAACGAGTATCCTGTTACTGACGAGACGTACCAAGGGTATTCGATAATATCCCTTGGGAACTCTAAATCTCTGTGTCGTCTCTGTTTTAGTTTCCTGCAAACAATCACAAACAACACTCACAGTCAACAAGAATACTCGTTAAGAATGAACTAATAACTTGATACTCAAGCTAATACCACAACATTTACGATAGTCTTTTTTTGAAAAAAATCGGTTAACGTTCACAACTTCACATTATGGTTCTCATTAAAATCTATGTATGCATTTACGTTGATATATGCATTTCCACTGTAAAGCGTTTAAACAGATAAAACACATGTTCAAACTTTTGAGATTGTTATCAAGGTTGGCAAAAAAAAATTTCTTTGAGATAAATCAAGAGACATGAAAGCACTTTCTGAAATGGCTCCGTGAATTTTTGAAGACGATTCATATGCTTTTACCCCCTAAAATATACTTTCCAAATTCAGATGATATATTTTTATAACAATTAGATTAAAAAAACATTTTCACCTTTTAAAGAAATTATTAATAAATGATCTTAACAAGAAATCTCAAGCGGGCATGGTTGAGTGGCACGGCAGAATTGTAAAGGTGGTAAGTACTCCAGATTTGAAATATACCACTTAGATCAACTGTGCACTTGTGAAAATAAGAAATATTTTATATGGTTTGTCCCTTGGCCTCAAGAATTAGTCAGATCTTTGGGGATGGATAACCCAAATTACCAACAACAAAAAAAGTTGACTAGAAAAGATATAAATGGGGAAGGAGAATATTTGGAAAGTTGAGCCATATTAGTTTCAAATTCAAATGTATATTGGGAGTGAGTAACACAACCCCACCAACATGCCTTGCTTTCTCTTACAAACCTCATAAATACTGGTAAATTGAAAGCTCGTGGGAACATGGTTCCTTCATTTAATCGGCCATCTAGCATATGTAGCAGACATAGTTACGTTTACGTATTATTTAGATATACATATTAACAGTATTTACGTATTTATGTCTGAGGTTATTTTCATAATTTATTTCATATGTCCGAAAATAGTGTATACTACCAAAATTTAAATATAATAAGAACACATAATAATACTTACTGAAAAAAGTTTTCTATAGAAACAATTCAAATTTAATAAGCCAACCTCCTTTTTGGTATGGGGTTGTTGGTCTAATTTAATGCTAGTTTGTTGCCTTGCCCTCTCTTCTTCAACCATCTTCATATTTATATCTTCTTCTACACTTTGCAGTCCCAAAATCTTTTCAAATAGCCACCTTTGTTTTTTCTCCTTTGATGCTACTTTTGTCTTTGACCTCGCTGAAAGTAAGAGTTCTGCAAGGATCCGATGATGTTCACCGAATCACCGGTGTAACATTTTCAGTGCCAACATTATTTTTGTATGCTTATATGGTTTACGTTGATGTTACTTATTTCTATTCCTGATTTTCTGAGAGATGTTGAATTACGATGTAAGGTAACGCGAGATATTAGTGCGGTTCAATCAAATAGTCGTGCTCTTATGTGATAGAGATCGGTTTTGTTCGATTGAGCCGTGCCAATATCACGCGTCAACCCAAAATTAAGGGAAATATATATATGGTTTATTCAGTATCGGTCCTGACATTGGAAAGACCAGAAGCAATTTTTAAAAAATTGACCATTTTTATAAGAACGTTTATATACTATAATAATAATTTTCTTATAAAAAGGCTGAATTTTTCAAATATTTTTTGAGGGCCGGAAGCGGTTGCTTGTAATGTTTCCCCTCAGGGCCGGTACTGGGTTTATTAAACCTTGAATGTTTTCTTGTCAAAATTTCATATTGTTTCCTATTTCTAACAATAATCTAACTGATGTCTTTTTTTTGTGCTGTGCAAGCTTCGAAGATACCAGGATGTTTTAACATGCGACAGCGATACAAACCCCAAAATCCAAGTACAACTGCGATATAACACTTCTATTTTCAGAAAGTATATATGGAATTTTAAGCAAAAAAAAATGTAGTAACATGCTACGAGAGTAAAAGAATGCAAATGTTGTTGTGGCTTTCTATCACGAGGAAATTACAACAATACAGAGAATTATAAGTTTTAGTTTCTAGTTATCTGCACTTTTGTCTCTATAGTTAATCTTTTTTTTTTTTACTTTATTTAAATGAATGTGTATGGTTTATTATCTTCTCTTCGTTAATCTTACAACAATAAGGGATTTTGGACTCGCTCTCAGTAGGCAATAGGGGTTTTTTTTTTTTATCAACAGGCAATAGGGTTTATTATTAAAGGAAATTCCATTAAGTCGTTCAACATTCCTGGAAATATGTTTGGACAAAATGTAAACATTTCCAACTTATAAAATTCAAAGTTGACGGTAGAACACTTCCCGGGACCAAATAAATAAATTATGATGCGAGAGAGTCTTCCTGAAATCGATCAGTCTTGTTCCAAAAATTTTAAAATGAAAAACCAAAATCAAATAGAAATTGTCGTTTTTAAAAAAAAAATTGGTATTGAACTCAATAACGTCTTAAAAATAGGCCAGGAAAAAACAAAAACAAAAATAAAAATAGTGACAGTTATATTTAATGAGAAGCAAGTAAAGAAAGCCATGTGGGAATTAATAAAAAGGCACAACAATAAGGACTCTGTCTGTCTGTCATAGGACAAACCAAATGTGACCATAACCATTACTCATTGCCTCTCATTAAACCACTTCACTCACTATTTTCTGCATTCATTTATTCATTTTCTCACCCAAAAACCCTACTAATAGTACTATCTATAAAACAATATTGTTTTTTTTTTCCAATCTCTCTTATAGTCCCCAAGTAACATCATGTTGTATTATTAATAATTTAGTAAGAACATTTTGTTATTTCCTTATATTTTCAGGAGTTTGTCCACAACGCAGTTTCATGTTCACCACAACGTTCATGAACATCAGACATTCTCTCGGCCGACAGACAGATTCCACTACATTTCCAGTCAAACGATGCTGCACAAACATCTCCAAGCATTGCTTTTAGTTGACAATCTGCGTTTCCAAAATGAAATGAAACGTTATATAATTTAAAAGTAAGAACCGGTAACTTGTACATAGTAAACCAAACTAAACCGATTGAGCTGTTTTTACCATGAGCAGAAGTACTGCAACAGAGTCTATTGTCATTAACATGCTCAACGTCCAATCCTATGAACCAAGATCCCAAAGAAACATCCTCATTCGCATACTTATGCAGTAAATCCCTTGTTTCGACAAAAGTAAAATTAGATTCATTAGATTATATAGGTCCTTTCTCCCAAGCATTTTGGTTGCATTGTACTGTTATTTAAACATACTTACTGGTTTATCAATATGTAAGTAGCTAGTTCCTTAGAAATGGCGTAGAACTGTCCCGTGGCATGGCGAAAATACTTGTTCCCGATCTCTCCAAACTTCCAATACTCCGGTTCATGGTACTTCACACCCCTGTTTGTTTTTGGAAACATTTTACTTATAGGCTGCTGCTTGTGTACAGTTTAAGAAACCAAACTAAGGTGGGTTTTTTCACTTACTTTCTTGCTAGGACAGGACCAGACTTCATGCATCCAATATAAGCACGAGGTTTGTTCCGGTGACTTGATAAAGTCGTCTTGAGAGTACCTGCCAAGACAAGAGGATGAAATGATTAATAATATAAAGATTAAAGATAAAGAGTTTTGATTTGTTTTCTTTTACCAAGATTCACATGAACATCATCATCAACTTTGATGTAGAATTCAGCGTCCCACAAGGAAACAGCTGTAGCGAAAAACGTCTTTGTCTTGGCGGATAACTCCATGTATCCCTCTGTATGTTCCTGTTTTTTTTGTTGTTATAAAGCTTTTAATACAACAAAAAGTAGCAAAGTGACCAAACAAACAAGAGAATGAAGTTTCAGAACCAGTCTCAAGAAATCTCCATATCTTTTCTCCTCTGCTTCAATAACTTTCTCAAGAAAGCTAAGAGACAATGTACTGAAATCAGAAAACCATCATAAGTATAAGTTTTAAATTCTCAGTTTTTTTTTGTTTCCACTACAGAACATGACTTCGTTCTTTGTACCTGTGTCCTATAACAAAGCGAACAATGATGCCTTTCTCTTCCTCCAGTTTCTTAAGCTTCTCACCTATATGATTGTTTTAGAAAACCAAAAGAAAGTTAGATTTCCAGGTTTTATTCACACTCAAGCAACTCGGGAAACAGCCTTTTACCTTGGGGCATCCATGTTGACCGGATTGAGTCACGTCTCTTACTACTACTAAAGGCAGTGTTGATACCAATGACCATGAAGTATTTTCTTTTCTTGGCTTCTTTGGAAATGTTAAACTTCCCGGATAATGACTCCCTCTCTGCTCTAGCAGCTACCAGTTTCATCTCCAAACTTGCTATGGATTTATCTAAGATCCTGCATTGGTTTTTGAATATATTTAACATCAATATCATGTAAAACATATCTTCATGGATACATCTGGTAAAGTATCATATTGTTACTATACCCGATAGTGTTGTTACCATATTCCAAAACCTGCTAAATAACACAAGACCAAACAATGAAATATGTTTTTTTTTCAAGTGAAGTGATTAATGAATATACCAAGAACTCAGAAGTGTTACATTATTTTTGTTTTGAACACGGTCACCAGATTTTAAGCTTAGTTTGGAGAGTGTTGCTATGCCTCTAGCTTCAGGTACATTCCACATCCTGATATAATGTTGATGATCATCATCAGCACATTTTTCATAACCAAGTACATAAACCCCTAACTTCATAAGATAAAAACAAACACAACTCCGAGCCAAAATGCAGTTCAAGTCACTGACACAACAAAAAGATGCACGCTCTATGTTCTTTTCATACTTGAGGCCAAATCAACTGTTCTTTTTCCAATATATTCCAGGCCATGATTGGAATGAAGTAAGCAAATTGGTTGCAAAGAGATTTGATCATATACTAAATGTTACAATGTCCCACCATTTTATTAAATCTATCTAATAAGCAAATATAAGATACTGTTTTTTTCTTGGGTATATCTGTTGATTCCTCATAAGGTACACGGAAACATGAGAAAATAGATTGTCTGATAAAAGCACGTTTACACCGTCACCGACAAAACTCTAAACCTGAGAAATTTACTTAAATTTGGAGAAAATCAAAAGTAGATTTAGTGCCAAGAAGCTGAAATGATTTAACACACAGTTGATTAAAACTCAAAAATAGAGCAAGAATCAGACATGAACAGTAAGATACCAAACTTTTGTAAGGAAATCGTGGAACAAAAGCACAATGGGCACCAAAAGGTACCTGTTACTGAAGAACATTCCAAGGCAGAAACTTGCGATGCAGAAGAAAAACAAAGAGTTTCTAGAAATCACATTTCTTGGAGTAAAGTAGTGATCTCCAACAACTCCTCCTCTGTTCTTGAAAGACATTTTGATGCAAAATCAAAAGCTTTGTATAGCTTGAAGTCAAAGATTCAAGCTTTTTCTTTTGTGGTTCTCTTTACTGTTTGATGGAATATATCTCGCTTCACACACTCACTCTCTCTCTCTCTACCTGAGAGAGAGAAATGCATGAAGAAAGAATAAACACAAAAAGTGTATTTTTATAAACTACAAAAAAAGAGAAACGTTTGGCAAAATACTATGATGACGTTTCTAATGATAGTTTTTGGAGTTATTAAAATGTCAAAACTGATGCTTTTCGTTACTAATTCACAATGATAACTGCAGCTTACCTGAAAGAGTTACAGTCTTTGGGTCAGATTTAGGTTTCTATTTTTGAAAATATCAACTTATAAACAAACTTTGCTTGGTTTTATTTATTCACAGTTACGAAAGCAGAATCCATATCGATCTTTTAAATGCTTTTGGGAACATTAACAGAAGAAGAAGAAAAAAGGATCAAAAGCTAATTTCTGTACATACAAAGAGAATTTACTACTTTCCTTTTTATTCTCACTTGCGTGCAGAGTGATAGAGCTCGATGTACTCAAGTGCAGGACGATTCCATGACCAGTCTTGCTCCATCACCGTCTTACACAGTGAGTTAAACCACTCTCTACCATCATACCACGCTGATATAGCCCTGCAAGAAGAAGAAAAAAAAAAGAAAACACCGGTTAATTGTAATGCTCCACAGTCAGTGTTAGTCTAGAGTTTGGTTATTTTACCTGTTGAGAGCATAGTCTACACCAGGAGCATCAGCCCCGTCGAAGCTGAAGCCATTAGGTTCTAGAACTTGAGCTTGTGCCCTTTCTTTATCATGGTCCACATCAAAAACCGTGTCGTAGAGTCCTATTTTGGACAAATATAAACCATTAATCGGTCTTAAGGTAATCAGGTAAAGCTTTCAGTTAAAAACCGTTACCTCCGGTTTTTCTTACGACAGGAACAGAGCCGTATCTCATGGCAATGAGCTGTGTCAGTCCACACGGCTCAAATATCGACGGTACAAGAATAAAGTCAGCTCCTGCGTATATCTAGAGTGTAATAAACACACAAAAAGACTTAGAGCAACGAAGTAGTGAAACAAAGGTTCTGTTATTATTCTTACCAAATGGGAAAGAGGTTCATCATAGGTTAGAACAAGCCGAGCACGGTCACCGTGAGTAGAATGCAATTGGTTTGCCAAGTTCACGAAATCATTTTGGATCCGAGGATCCGGAGCTGAACCTAACAACACAACCTGCTTTATAAAAAACTGGTAAGGATTGTGAAAAGTTCATGACATAACCTTTTAAAAGGTTTGAGTAAAGCTAAGAAAAGGAACCTGTCCGTTCCGTTCTAAGGTACGCCAAATAGCAAGTTTGATCAAATGTATTCCTTTCTGGTGAGTTAAGCGTGTAATAATTCCTACTAATGGAAGATCTGCACTCTTTAGTCCAAGCTTGTTTTGCAGCTCTTCCTTTGCTGCTCTTTTGCCTTCTACGACGTTCTCTGAAGTATAAGGTAACTAAGAAGAACGCAAAGTGTTCAAACATCACAACATGTAGCAAGAAATGGCAAGGAGAGGGATGTGATCAATGCTTACGGGTATAAAGTTATCGTTGTATGGATCCCATATATCAGGGTCGATACCGTTTACTATTCCGTGGAACTTGTATAAATGTGGAGAGATTACAGAGTTTCCAGCGACTTCCTTTGCATACGTTCGTGAAACCTGATGTATGTTAACAGCAGAATGAATATTTGTAAACAGATATGCTACGAGGATAATGGTTTCAGAACTTACCGTAGTGGCTTTATCTGCAAATGTCATGGCTTTACCAATGGCACCAGCCCCAAATTCCAAATTATGGAGTGTGAAGACAACACGGGTTTTAATTAAACCGTAATGCGTGTAATGATCTTTGAACAGCCATGAAACAGGAGCACTGGACCAGTCGTGACAGTGAAGAATGTCCTGTACATGTTGGGACCATAGTTAGACCAAAATGTTAAGATTTTCTATTAAGGTCTCTTTATATAAAACTAGTAGACGTACTGGATGAAAACCTCCTTGTAGAAGGAACTCAAGAGCAGCATGACAGAAGAAACCAAACCTTCCTGCGTCATCTGCGCAACCGTAAACACATCCTCGCTGAAACAATCTGCAACAGTCAAAGCAACAACTTCTTCATACCATCAAGAGATGATGAATGCATTGTGGAAAGACTTTAACACATATGCAGAAAGCTAACCCATTTTGCGGATCTAAGAAGTAAACCGAAACGCCTTCTACCTTCCCATGCCATACTTTTATCTCTGTACCTCCCCAGTGATAGCTTCTATTGAATTGCAAGTCTTTCACCTATTTTTTTCACAAAATTTTAAGTACAAAAAGAGATGCGGTGAAAGTGAGAAAAGATGAGAAGACATGGATCTTACATGGTTGTACTTTAAGCAATCATACTTTGGAAAGATGATATCCACATTATGGTTTAATTCTTGAACAGCGCGAGATAGACTAGTGACCACATCACCTAAGCCTCCAACCTGCAGATAATAAGTATACATAGACCTAAGAGAGAGCTAGCTATATGTACAATGTGTTTTGATGGCTATAAATCTCACATCTTAAGGTTGGTTACCTTTGCAATGGGTGCCATTTCAACAGCAATATGAACAATGTGCAATGGTGGTTCCTTTGCAACACCTCCTACGACCGGTAAGTGGTAATCCAAGCCATCTTTGTTATCAAATATTCCACCATCTTCTTTCTCCGAGAAAACAAAGTCCATCATGTAAGCATCCAAAGGGACCTTAGCTGAGCAAAAAGAAAGAAAGAAAGAAGAGATACATTACTCAAATATCATTTATAAGTTGACAAACTGAGATCTTACCAGAAGTCGTCAAGTGTGAGCTTCCATCATCTGCGGCTTCCATTTTCTGAGGTGGCAAAGGACTCAAGCGATGAGTCCAACGATTAAAAGAGCATCTAAACCAAACCTCAGGCTTTCCGTTCAAAACCGTGTTTGACGGATTGTAGAAAACTGGCACAGGGCGTCCTGCTTGAATCTCTAAAGGCTCCGTGTAAACCACGTCTTTTTGGGAGAGTAGAAACTTTTTAAGTGTTCTTTTCTTTGTTTCGGCTTTTAAACAAGCTGTTTTCTCCATCTGTCCCAAGAAAGAAATCAATGTGGTAAAGAGGACAACCATAGATTTCTGTTAAGATGTATTGAGCACTAACCTTGACACGCATAGCTTCTTCTTTTAACCGTCTCTCCTCCTGAAGTTTCCTAAACATTAAATCTTCTTCCTCTGACCAGTAAACTTCTTCTGGAGTTCTTAGAGGAACAAGTGCGTGGAAATCTTGGCGACTATTATTATCATACAGGAACGCTCCTTCAGGCGGTCCATCAGCTAAGACCCAGTCAATGACTAAAGCACCGACGGGAACTATGACTGCACATCAAATTACAAAGATCAATAAAACAACTGGCAAAACAGCACATGTGACTACAAAATAGACCTTCAGCGAACCACCAGTCTCCGTTCTTCGAATCAGCCTTAAGCTCAGCATCAACAAGCTTTTCAACTATAGATAACCCATCAACCCAATTATTAATCCCTCCATGTATCCAGATTTCTTTGGCATTAGCTAGAGGACCTGAGCTTTTGTTGTAGTAGAGCTTCACTTTATCTCCACCTTTGAAATTTCTCGGCTCAATGTACCAAACATTCTTAGCCGAGACTACAGCTTTCTGAAGAGCATGTTGTAGCCTTTCACGTCTCTTTTGAGTCTCCGCCTCTGCTTGTGCTCTATCAGCTTCAATAGCAGCCTTTTGAGCTTCGATTCTTCTCTTCTCTTCCTCTTGCCTTTCCCTCTCAGCTTCTTCTTTAGCTAGCTTCTCTTGCTCTCTCCACTTCTCTTCTAGAAGAAAATTCTCAAACTCAACTTTATCCATCCCACCTTTTACATCTATACAGAAATCTTTTGAGTCATTGTTGTCATAAACGCTCTTCCCGTTGAAAAACACAAAATCAATCTTATATGCTTCTTTAGGGATGTGAAGGAGACATGACAGCCAATCTCCATTGATCCATGTCTTTTCCAGTTTACTCGTGAAAGATTGCCATCTCCAGTCGTTAAACGCCCCCATGATCAAAACATTGGGTTCGTTGTTTAGGGTTGATAGAGTCCTGTTGAGAAACACTTCTATGTTTTCATCAGGTTTTGCAGTAAGAGGATAGACAAACATTCTATCACCTCTAGCCAAAGTTTTCTCTGCAAGCGCTTCTATTTTCTTTCTACGAAGATTCTCTCTTTCAGCTTTTAACTTTTGTTGTAATAAAGCGTCATCCTCATGGTCGCTTCCATCATCAGTGTCCGACCTATCTAACACATTCCTCTCACCAAAAACAACAGAACCTTGTTTCTCCACATTCGCTTTAGCTTCTGGCAACTTACTGATCTGTAAAACCTCATCTGTTAAGGTCGAAGTTGTATCTCTATCTGTTTCACCGGTCTTCGTGGGAGTTCTTTTTTGAGCACTTCCTACTGTTGTTCGCTCCTCAAAACCTCTTGGAGCTGAGCTTTTGGGCGCTGAAGCTGCCATTCTCCCTTGCTTCCGCCTTGAAAAATCTTGGTAAAACAAAACACCAAAAAGACTGAATCAGTAATCAACAGTGTGTAAGTTGTTACAGACCATGTGAAACGTTTCTTGATTATTAACCTGCACTTGCCGTGATCTGATGCAGAAACCCATTTGAGTTGTCTTGACTTTCCAACGCAGGAAGCTGGGAACCAAACATGTCAGATGGTTAGAAATCGAATGTACAACTGTTCAATCACCTTTTCACGATCACTTAGCTAGAATATTAGAACACCTGAAACTAATTAATCACACCAGAATTAACCAGCTGAATATTAGTCTGAAGTATAAAAAGATGAGACATTACTGCTTTCCTACAAACTAGGACCAGAACTGAACCTACTAAAAACACTACATTTTGTCAAATTTCAGTTCCAACTAAGGATCTCTTAATCTAAAAGGTGATCTCACTTTTAAAATAAGGTAGAACACTGTGCACTTCAATTCCCAAGAAAAAAAAGTAGAATCCAAAGAGCATCGAACTAGCCAAATATACATATAAGAGTAAGTATCAAGGAAAGTGAAAGAAAGTTAGAGAGATTTACACTTGAAAAGGAGCAAGATTTGGAGCGATGAGGGAGAAAACCAATACAAGTATTGATCTTGAGCCGACCCTTTTGCAGGAATACTGGTCTGAGACTCGCCGGTCTCTGTATCTGCCAACACACTTCCATGTCTGCCCAAAACAAACACCAGAAAAGACAGAGAATGAAAGTGTCTGTGTACTTGTTCAGGTAGGATGTTTATACAGACAAGAGAGAGAGAATGTTTGTTGCTGAAGCATCCCCTCCACTGCCTCACCACGCCATTCCTCAAACTGATCTCTAAATTATTCCACTGAAAATTATAATTAATTAAGAGAGAGATGGAGATATAAGCCATGTGCTAATTAGTAATATTATACTATTATGAAAAGATATTAACTCATGAAATATAAATTAAAAAATGTTAATAGCTAGCATGCTAAGATATAACGACATGTTGCATAATATCAACAGAGTCGCAGCCGTTCATTTTAACTTATAGTGTTATCACTCTGAACATCATACGTCGTTTAGTGTAATGTGATTCTGTTGTTTCTTCTTTCTGTATAGCTCGTGACAAAGATATAGCTTGGCCGTTGCATAATCACCACGTGTCAGACAACCTTCTGATTTACAAGTCGACGTCAAAGCCTAAAGCCAACCTCTTTTCCCAACACTGACCGTTGATCAGAATCATCAAAGGGTCCACGTGTACAAAGCTAATTTACTTCCACTTGCTCTCAAGAGGAACCGTCCGAACGATTCTGTAGAAGTGAAAACCATTATGTGGCTTTGAACTATGGCTCTTTTTCTTTTATTCCATCAAGAAGAGGACTAACAATAGATTTGTAAATCTGTTCATGAGGTCTAACTCCATTAAGAACCATGTAATCATGTAGCTCAACAACTTCTTCTCTACCGTGATTCTTACTTAACCATGTAATCAGAGTTCCATATGTTATAGAATCAGGAACAACGCCTCTTTCAAACATAATCTTCAAAACCTCCTTTGCTTTCTCGTAACAACCAAACTTGCACAAATGATTGATCAAGATGTTGTAAGTCACCAAGCTAACCAGTTTCCAACCTTCATTGTTCTGCATTTTAGATAAGATACTCACAGCTTCTTCAACATTCCCAATTTTGAGAGACTCGTTCAACAGCGTGTTGTAAGTCACAGCGTCCTTCCTTTCCATAGCGTTCACCATTGCTTCAGCAGCACCACTCAATCCTTGCTTGCTTAATCCATTCACAATCGAATTGTATATCACAAGATTCGGCAACTTCTTCATCTTTATCATACCATCATATATATCCATAGCTTTCTCCACCTTCCCTTCCTTTAAGTATCCATCAATCAAAGTACCAAACGAAGCTTCATCAACACTCAAACCACGAACCAACATACTCCCTAGAATCTGATCCCCACAAGCCAGCTTCTTCTCAATTACAAAATGGTGCATAAGTGTGTTGTAACAAACAACATCTTCCGCAAGTTTCTTCTCTGTAATCCCTCTCTGGAACTTAACAGCTTCCTCTGCATACCCGTTTCTACATAGACCTTTGATAACAATAGCCTGAGTAAACCGGTCAATCTCCATCTCTTTACTGATCATATCACTCAACACCAACATAGCTCCTTCCATGTCACCTTCCATAAACAGCCAATAAACAATAGAGTTACAGATAACAGTGTTCACCACAAGTCCTTTACTCGTCATCTCATCACACAACCTTAAAGCCTCATCTGAACGTCCACCTCTTCCATAAGCATCAACCAAAGCTCCATAGGTTCTCTCATCACAACCAACACCTGACTTAACCATCTCACCACGTACTCTCTCCGCAAAATCCAATCTCCCCACCTTGCAAAACCCGTTCACAACTGTATTATACGTGACAGCATTAGGCGAGACAAAGCCCCCAGACATAACTCTCATCTTCCCTAAGAGCTGCAACGCCAAAACCATATCTCCAACCTTACAAGCTCCATCAATCATCATATTAAAGCTAACAACATTAGGCCAAACCCCACTTTTCAACATCCTGTAAAACACTGACAACGCTTCAACCAACTTACACTCCTTACAAAACGAATAAATAACAAGATTAAAAGTATTCACATTCTCAACGTATCCCAAACCATCCATCTCCTTGTAAACCTCCCAAAACCAATCAATCTCATTCAAACTCACTAAACAACCCATAAAGTTATTCAACGCGTGAACAGAGACGTTAAACCCCTCTACCCTCGTCTGCTCAATCACATCCCAAGCTCCCTCAACATCACCCTTCTGCGTACAAGCTCTAACCAACGAATCAAACACATCAGGACACGAACCACAAACTTGAAAACTCCTAACCAAACCAGACAAAACATCTAAAGGACTCAACTTTCCTCCTTCCATAAGACTCAACATTATCAACAAAGCCTCATCGAACTTTCTTGACTCAACCAGCAAATGAATCATCACAAAAGATGCTTCGGAGAGGTTAGCCACATTGTTATTATTCTCTAGAACCCAGTTGTGGAACTCTAGAGCTAGCTTTGGAGAGGTTCTAAACTGGAGAAGGACTCTGCTTACCAAAGGGTTAGTGAGAGTTGAGGAGAGTTGGTGAAGAGTGTTCCATCTTCTTTGCCTTAGGTTCAAACAGAGAGCGCTAAAGAGAATGTCTTCTGGCTCAGGGTTTGAGAACTTCTTAGCGACGTGGAAAGAGCGTAAAAGGAGTCTCGTTCGTCTGAAGAAAGCTTGAGAGAACATACAGTGATAGAGAGGGCAGGTAACGCCGGTTGCGGCGGTGGCGCCGGTGTGAGAGGGCAGAGAGAAAGGTTAGGACTTTAAAACGGTACGGATAAAAACAGAGGTTTATGTACCAGACTTTGATAACCGGTTTAGGAATAACCGAAACTGGTTTTGGTGGATCATCAAAAGTATAATATTTGCAAATTGCATCCCCAGAATAAATCATTTTTCCAAATTATTTTAAGAGAAAATAACTAGAATAGACCTAAAAATTTTTTTGTCACAAATATAGAACTTAACAATTAAAATGACCAAAATAGCAATTAAATGTTTTATTAAATATATATTTTTACCCTTTGGGTTAACTAATCTTAAATTTTTTTGTTTAGAGTTGAGGAGTGGGATTTTGGGATAGGGTTTCAAATTTTAAAAAAAAAAAAAAAAAAACTTAAAATTTTCAAAATAAAAAATGCTATTTTGGTCATTTTAATTTTTGAAGTCTATTTTTGTGATAAAAACTTAAAAGATGGATATTTAAGAGAATTGCCCTTATTTTAATTGCTTTTAATATAACTAACAGTTGCTGACAAACAAATATAACTAACAATTTAAAATATGTTTCAAAAAAATAAAAGTAAGTTGGTCCATCGGTATATAAAATTGTGATATTTTAGGAGAAAATGTAATAAGTTGTGGGTTTTGAAAAAGGTAATACTATCAAATAAGTTTTTGTTATAAAAATAATTTTTAAAAATTAAAATGATCAAAATATTTTTTTTCATTTTGAAATTTGTAATATTTATTTTTATTTTTTAAAATTTGAAATTCTAAACCCAAAACTTCATCCCTTAACTCTAAATCCTGAGTCTAGATAGTTAATCCAAAAGTATAAATACATATTTATCTTTTATTAAAATTTAAAAATTTTATTTTGATCATTTTTAGAGAGTTATTTTTGTAAAAATAAACTAAAAAAGGCTAGTTGGAAAAGAAATTTTTTATTGCAAATAAGAAAAGAAAGAGTTTAGTTGTTCAAAAAAAAAAAAGAAAAGAAAGAGTTTCAACTGCATGTCTAACATGACATTAATACCGTATGTTGTAGTTTGATGTTACGGAAAAAAATTATGGCATGGCTAAACAAATCTTCCCCCATTGTAGACGTATAGATTATAGAATATTATTCGAAGAATATACTTTTGTTTTTGTGTTTAGTATAATTTTAAGAAGTTGGGTCTATGTCCAATTTGGGCTCCATGACATCAATATAGTATTTTTTTCCCATTCGCTCTACCATTTAGAAACAACTGATATCATTTTATTTATTCATGACCCATTGGGCACAGTGAAATTACTAGACATAGCTGCACACTTGCTTCACCTTTCCTCCAATGTCAAAAGTTTCACAAAGTTATGTCAAATGGATCTTTAAGGCTTCTTCCGAATCTGCTTTTCTCTATTGGTATTTTGGCATCAAAGTTCACAGTAATCTGTAAACATTTCATTGTCGAATTATATAGGTAAGATGTAACCTGAGCTCATTGATAAAATACTAGACGACTAGACATGCTTTCATTTATCATGTATTTCCATTTTTTCATACGAAGACAATCACAAGATGTGACTTTGTCTACGAAAAATTGGTATAATAGAACTTATATTATTCTTGAGTTTTCTATAAAGTCACTGATGTTGGATTTTAAATGTATTAATTTCTAGGAATCAAATTATTGAGAGAGAGGAGGGAGTGATGAACGGTGAAGAGAGGGATTGAGCAAGATAAGAGTGGAAAGAGATGTGTTGAGCCCACACATATGAAGGGCATGACCACAATATAGACTTCTCGATCATATTCACTTTCAAAGGTCCTTTCTTGAAAAAGGCAAAGGCATTATAACTCACAAAGAGATCCAAAACATTTTTTTTGACAAACTTCCCTTCTCTTATGCTTTATCACAAGACTCTCTAACTTGTGTCACTTTCTTTTGACCCCAATCCATACCCTACTCCATTCATAACCTCATCATGTAACATACATGAGTATACACACATATATATATGTGTGTGTGTTATTTTTTCTTTTGAAAAAATATAATGTCTGTGTTTGAGATTGTTATATATATTGATCAAAACATAAATCATATAGTGGCCACTGGTTATCAGATACTGTTTCATCGACCACTAGATCACTCCATTTAGGTATTTTTCATCCAGGCATCTATAGTTATACTGTCAGAGTTAGCTATCTCTTTAATCTCTCTTTTATGTTATAGCTTATTTTCGGTGACGTGCCTATATATATTTATATATAAGAAGATGCCATTTCATGAACCATAATGATTTTTGTTGGGAAAATTTAATTGAAAATAGTGTCTTTTCCTGCTCGTGAGTGCCCACTTTGAAGTGGATTCTTTGGACAGTTTACCTGTGGACACAATAATGCTGCGAGGACACATCTGTTCTCATTAACTATATACAAACTTGCCTTTCATATCTTGTCAAATTATCACTTAATTAATAACTAGACCTAATCATATTGATAAACTAATTCTTTTACCATCATAAACAATACCAGTGCTCAGCTCAATCATTAATATCCTTGTTACGTAGTACATGACATATGAATTGGGTTTATCATTATTAATATGTTATTCATCATATTTAGCTAAAAATGAACACTACGAGGAAGGAAATTGTATAACTAACTCGCAGTTCTGCATAGTCTTTTTTTTTGTTAGGTTCTCGAGTTTCAGGTTATGATGACCTTTTTGTTCAGAAACTAATTTGTCTGATATTTATAAAAATTGAAGCCATTCTTTTCCAATCATAGATTCGAGCTTGAAAGAAAGAAGTCAAACAAGTCTCTCTCAGGAAATTATCGCTCAACCTTTGTAACCTATCGTCTGCCTTGGATCAAGTTTTATTTAATAACTTTTATTGATATTGAAATTGTGGATCGCCATGTCCTTCTTTGGATATTTATAACGACATTAAAATGTATTTAATCTTGAAAATAATCGGCTGAAATAAAATTTTAAAATTGTACACAACATAGAACATGAGGTTCTTGAAATATAAAAAGAAAAAAAAAACATTATGCATGGGAAGCCAAATAAGTCTTATACATCTCACGCTTGGGATTCAAGAAAGTTTCAAAATTATTTCTACACAATAAACAACTTTTTTTCAGCTGAAAATTTTAAATGCTTTTTAAATTATATAAAGCTACTTAATTAGCCGTAGAAACCTGTTTGACTCCAAATCGCGTCACGCACGCGCCTTAACTCTCGTCCTTTAAGAGTCCTCCCAACCCCTTCGAACACCGACGCGCCGCCGCCAGATTTCCTGCTCCGCCGCTTTTGGCTCTTAGCTAAGTACTCGTGCGGCGGCATAACCCCGGACTCTTCATCCTCCTCCTCTTCCTCCGACTCGTGTATCGACTCAACCGAGTTGACTCGGTATATCTTACTCCAGTCCGGCACGTTCACCGGCGCCGACGACGCTAGCTGCCGCTGGACATGTCCTCCTCCTCCTCCTCCTCCTTCTCCACCGCCAACTTCTCCTCCGCCGCCGCGTATCTGATGCACGATCGTCGGCGACGGTGACATGTCCTCAAACGCCAGCGAAAGACCACCACACGCGCGGCCGTTCCTCATCACCGTATCGCGTGGATTCCACGCGCCGCCGAAGGCTTCCGACGTATCCTCGGGGCTGTGATCAACGGTGTGTGACCAGACGTCCTCTTCCGTGAGCTCTGATTCGTCGGTGACGGAGTTTCCGTTACTATCACCGAAACTACTATAGTTGCTCCCAAGGTACCTCTCGCTTTGGCTTATCGTCAGCTTTCGAACTCTTGCCATCAAAGCTCCCACACAAATCAGTGATATTATGTTAAAATTACTTTTAAATTACTATTATCTTAAAACATTCAGAGATTGTGTGATTAGAGATTTCGCTATAAGTTTTAAACGGAGCGAAATGAACGAGTATATATAGCATTTTTCTGATCACAACAGTCCAAAAGAATGTGAGATGAGAGTTAAATAAATATTAAATATTAAATATGCCCCTGAATTATAAATTTCTCGCAAAAAAAATCGTGAAGATGTTGTATTGATGTCTAAGCCCTAATTTTAGCTTCTAAAATTAGTGGTCCTTTATGTATGGAGTGTTTCCACCGTTGGATATTTAATATAAATCAGCTTTTGGATGGAAAAAGTTTGCACGAAAAGTAGTACGTAATAATTTCGTGAATGTGTTTAATATTCTGCCATCTAATAAGCACAGCGAATTTTTAATTCAGACCATCTATTTTGTCTTTCATCAAATCAAATGAGAATATATGTGATCTCAAATCAAATCCGGATGTGTTTAAATTAGTAAGGGGGGATCTTTGTAAGAAACACGAAAGTTACGAGGAGTAAAATGGAAAATTTGTTAACTATAGATGAAAACAATTATTTGTTTTGGAATAGTTTCTTGTCTGAGTAATCATTAATGTGGATAAAAGGCCCTCCATTTTCCACACGTAACAGTTAACAGATAAACAATTTGGATACGCTGTAATAAGATGAGAATGCCACGTTACGCGCTGCTGTGAGGCGCGTGTGATTTAATCGACAGTCGTCCAAGAAAGTCTTGGAAACACTTATTATCAACTTGCCAAATTGGGAGAAAGGTTGCAAATTTTAGATCACTCGTTTTGGTAAGAAAAGATTATTCACGAGAAGTTTTTCTTTGATTACTAAATTTTTTTGTAGCAAAATCAAAAGTTAGATTAGTTTTGTATGTGCAAGTGCAACTAAGTTTGCGGAAAAAGATGTTAGGCAATTTAGACTAGGGCTTTGTAACAAGTTTTTCGTGTTCTTTTTTTTTGCTAAATGGTAAATGTCATTACTATGAATGATGATTTGGTTACAAGAAGCTTGCAGCCATAGCCTGCTTTGACAGCCGGTTTGATTTTAGGGACCGCAAAAAGTTTTAAAAAATCCCTAAGAACCTAAGAATTAAGTCCAAGCTTCCAAACAATGGAAAGCATGAAGTTAATAGATCAAAGTAGAACAAGAAACAACAATTTAAAGCTCCCTAATCCAATGCACTTCTTGCATTATATGGATTAACCAGCAAGCAAGAGTATAGCTTAGAGTAAACTCAGCCGAACACTCACCAAAGTGGCTCCAGCAGGCTTCAACGGCAGTGGCTGGTGAACACCCCGGCGCACCACTGGAGGAGGACGTCGACCGAGTAAACCATAGCTATCTCGACAGAAAACAGAAATGCAATCCCGAGTCAATACCGCAGAAACTGAAGCCCAAGTTACGGTCAAGCGTAGGCGGTTTAAACTGCGGCTCCCTCCGGCCACGCGACACATAAGAACGGCAAAGACGTCGATGTACATTAGAGAGAGTGTCGGAGCAAAGGAATACGGGAATGAAGCACACAAGGAGTATAGATGTCCTTGAAAAAAAAACGACTCAACTGGTAAAAGAAGCTCCGGCTAGATGCAAGTGACTCTGTGACTTCAGGTTGTCCTCAAAACCTTACTGAACAAAGATCGGGAGCAAGAAGAGGAACTAAACGATTACCGTAAGATCGTCATGGTTGTTGGGTCTTGAACTAAAGGACAGAGGTCCTCAGTGGTACACCTCGCTACCACCGTTCACTCAGACAGAGAGGAGGAGCTCTACGAAACCTTGGAGCAAGCCGTTAGAGAAAGCCGACTGGAGCGAGACGACGAGGCAGGAACGGGGACGGCAGCTACACGTCTGTTGCTCCGGCAGGTCTCGGATCTCAGATCTGACCCAGATCGAGCGCAGTCAGCATCTACCGAAAGACCCAAGGCTCCCAATGATAACGCAGACTCGACTAGCCTCGCCGGAGTTCCAGAAGAACCAGAGACGCCTCTGATATCCGACTATCCGGAGGGGGATATCCTCCGAATCCAGAAGACCGAGCAAGGAGGATAGACGAAGATAGCAGAACCAAGAGGATGAGATGGAGATGAACATTACGGGATGAAAGTGGTCCCTCTCTCACCGCCTAACAGCGCCGGAGAGGCAAGGTGGAGACGACGATTCGAGGACAAGGGTGATTAGGGTTGAGAGAAAACGCGCGTTTTTCGTGTTCTTCATTATATTCCAAGTGTCTATTCTCGTCGTTCACAAGGCACATGACTTGTGTCGTGTATTGATCTTGCCTAGAATGATCGGATTTTTATTTTTATTTTTCCGGACCTAGTAAACCGTTATACTCAAGTTGAACGGAAATATAAACTTGCATGAATCTATAGTTTTAGCTTACATTACATCAATGTACTTTTTAATGAGTCGTCTGACTGATAATCATTTTAGTTGGTGGTATTGGGAGTTTTCTTCTATGGCTATAGAAAAAGTGGCGTGGTTAGAGAAATGCTTTTAATTAGTTGGGTTGTAAGAGAGATTAAATTTGATCAACTTACAAAAGGAATCAAATCATACACATAACATATTTGTACATTTTGATTGGGAACTCAATATTTAAATCAAAAGTGGAACGTCGAGTAACTCGAGTATATACTTCACAACTATGACCATTAATTAATTGTTTGAACCAAAAACTAAAGAACTAATAATCATTGATTGTTAATCAAATGCGTAAATGAATTATAACTTTCAAACAAATACTAAAAAGCAGGTCTCCACTTGTGACGAACATAGTACAAAGAGAGAGAAGGGCCCCGCTCCGTCCACATTGAACGGCTTAGAATGAGAGATATAGTATCATACACATTTCGTATGCACAGAAGCTACAATTATTTCAACTGATTTATCTTGTTTTTTCTCTCATTAAGAATTTTTTTTTATTTTTACAGATTTAATATTCTTTTTCCCCCTATTTTGTACCCATATTTATAAGCAACTTACGGTATTTGTTTGCGATAGTATAGAAGCTTTCTATCTTTCAAAAAATAATAATTCTTCCAATCATTCTATATTTTCTTTATAATGGCTGGTACACAGCTACACAATTTTAAATCGTTTTTCGTCTTGAATATCCGATGTATGCTTACAAAAGAGAATATTCCTTTCTAACATGTTTTAAGACGTATTTTAACTCGACTAATATTCTTTATGAATTTGTCTGTTAACCAGAAGGACAAAGTATATTAGAAACCTACATGCCGTATTCGACTAATACTCTTTCAGTTATGAACAAAATAGATAAATGGACATACTACAAAAAGATCAGTTAAAATTCTAAATTACCCACACTTAGTTAGATTAGCATGTACGTGAAACTTTGACAGAAATAAAATAACTATATTACAGTTTGACAGCATTTTGTTTAGCAAAAAAAAAGTTGACAGAATTTTATTACGTTTGTAAATCTATCACGTATATGAAATATTATAGATGATCCCATAACATTATTCCACTTAATAATGCTTAGGAAATGAAGAAAAAAAACTTAAACAAAACATACGAGCATACATATATATACAATATAAGCAGTGACACAAATAGATACATGAAAATGAAAAAAAAACTATAAATTATCGATATTATATATTACATGTCTAAATCAATGTAGGGATATGGTTTTTAATTAGACGATTTTATTTTGTCCAACAATTGGTATACGTCAGGTAGTTGTCCTTTTGCAAGAGGAAGAAGCCATTATGTTGTTCTCAGTCACCCCACAATAGACCACTACCACCTCTACGGAAGTTATAGCTTACTGTATTTTAAAATAATCTAAATAGATCAATTGTTTAAGTAAACTATTTATCATTTTATATCATGAGACATGAATGATATGACAGACATGATCCAATCCATTGATTTACGTATTTTTATTGTTTGTAAAATGCACCTCATCATAACTGAATGAATCCATTGCTGACAAAAAAAAAACTGAATGAATCCATCGTTGTAACCCGATCCTAGGTCCATCGTGAGGGTATATATAAAAATCATATACCTAACATGTGAGATCTGGTTACTTAAATAGATTAGCTACACATTTTGAAATGACAGTTTGTTTAAGTTCTTAAGTTTCCAACTAAAACCCACTATTAATAAGTAAATTTGATTTTCAAGTGTTTTGAGCTCATTTGAAAAACTATGAAAGACGAAGTCTTGAGATCATAAGAAGACCTACCGGAGTTTAGAATAAGATTATTATTACACATTTTTGTTTAGGATCTAATAAATTACACACTTCGGTATATTATCTAATAGTTAAAAAGGAAGATTATCTTATTGTTATTTTAAATTTCATATAACATTAAGTCTAGTTTTTTTGCACAAGACATTTGAATGTTTTTTTTTTTTTTTTTTTTTTTTTTTTTTTTT